GACATGGCAGCACAGGAGGCCAAGTGGGGTGCTGCCCTGAACACACTATTTGAAGCAAATCTCTATTATTCACCTTTCCCATCAGAGGACAGGTTAAAAAAAAAAATAGGTTAGCCAGGGTAAGTCTTGTAGAGCATGCTAAGGAACTTCAACTCCAGATTATAAACTATAAGGATCCAGCAAAGGCTTCTAAGCCTGAAGATGACATGGTCCGTTTGGGGAGTTGGAAGGACGATTTAAACGCGGCTTGGGGATAGGTTTGAAGAGATGAGTCCTCTGATCTAAGCGCAAGGTGGTGAGGAACCTGCAGGGAGAAGAAGGATGGAAAGAAGGAATATAATGCAAAGTTATTTATTTTATATCACTTTACTATTCTATACATGAATATATTATACACACACGAGCATGCATGTAAATAGGCTCGTTATACAGCCGTGTGTGACATAGGTACACATGGAACTAACATCCCATCCCCTAAATAACCAACTCTACATATTAAAGTTACATAAAATACATGGCAATGATATTTTATATCACAGAATTTATATCATAGTATCATCAGATATGCAGATATTATATGATTATATGACTATGCACACATATGACGTTATATATGTATAATTCGATATAACATCATGTGTAGCTTTAATATGTAAACATCACTTAGGATACTGGATGTGGGCATGGAAAATGTCAAAGATAACGCTCAGGTTTCTCATTTTTTAGTCAGTCTGTCTTCATTACGTTGTTCCCAAAGAGATGGAACACCACAAGGGGTGTGGGGGGTGGCAAGGGGAGAAAGGAACCCGGTTTTGATTCAACGTGCTGGGGGCATGTGGGGTAGAGATGCCAGAGCGGGCTGGTTTTATATGTAGCTCAGGAGAGAGGCTGGGGTGAGAGGGAGGCGGCTCAGGGACGTGGGTGCAGGGAAGACAGCTGACACCACGACAGCTGAGATTTTACAGCTTCCAGGATCGGCTCCGCACAGAAGAGAGTCGGCTTGTCTTGTCCAGCTCAGGGCAAGCAACTTGTCCCCGAGGATTTTTATTTTCCATGAGAATCATTTTTGAAATTACAAAGCGTGTGTGTGCGTGTGTGTGTCTTTGTGGGTGGGTGTGCACACAGGTACAATCCTCACACACACATCAGTTATTTAAGAAGCAGAAGCAATGAGCTGCCTGGGCGGGGTCGGGGGGGGGCGATGAGGATTGTAGGAAGATGTCTGTTAGACAAATGGGGTGAGGGTGTGCATAAGGGGCTTCCCGGGTAGCAGGAACATCTACGTTCATTGACAGGGGTCTAGGGATGGCGCCGTGTTGGGGGTGCACAGCGGTGGAGTCTGGTCAGGGGGAGAATGCAGATCGGGGCGGAGAGCCCCTGCACCCGGCTTCCCCAACAGGTTAGGTCTTTGGACATGCCTAAGCCCGGCTGATGACTAGCTCCCTCATCCCTGGGCTGTGTTCTTCCTCTTACACTTTACTCAAACCATCTAACCATCTGCCTGGCTTGTGTTTCAACAGCTTTCAGCACTCAGCTCAGGTGTTGCTTCCTCTGGGAAATCATCTACACCCGCATCTCCATTTCCAGCGTGGTCAGGTGCTCACCTTCTGCGTTTCTGCAGCTCCTGAACCTCCCTCCAAGGTGGTTCGTCAGAGGGCACAGGCTTGCCCCCACCTCCCTGGCCGACCCCTCCCACCCCTGTGCCCTCCTGCCTGGCCTTGGGCGTGTGCTCAGTACATGGCTGAGGAATGAATGACGTCCCCGTTCATGATGTCACCCACTTGGCTGCAAGCTTCTCAACGGAGAGCGGACTGTTTTCAGGAGAGGAAAACTTCACGTGTTTTTATTTTTCAGGCGGAATTACTACTGTTATTCCTGCTCAGGAGGGCCCCAGAGCATATTAAACATAAAATGCCATTACCTCCCTGGTGGCGCAGGGGTTAAGATGCAACCTATGAAGAAATCCGCAGCCCACTGCAGCACGAGTTCGATTCCCGGCCAGCCAGGGAGAAACCCACATGGCAGGACAGACCTCTCCTGACTTACCCGCTGCTCCCCTCAGCAGTGTATTTCAGTAGATCTGCCTGTTCTGTTCCCCACTCTGTCTCTGGTGGGTCCTCTCACCCCCTGCATCTCTGGCCTGTACTCCAATTCGTGTATAAAAATAAATAAATCTTAAAAAAAAAATAAAATGCCATTCAGTGTCATCAGGAATCTGGGTTGAGTAGGAGTGAACAAGGAGGAAGGGGCAGCACCAGGTCCTCGGGTAAATTGTCTGATTTGCTGGGGTTTTTTTTTCCACTTAAAATTTAAGTCTTTTTTTTTTTTCTTTTTAAACCTAGGATTTAAGTCTCTCTCCAGAGACCGCTAAGGAGAGCTTGCCTGTGAGTGAAGCTGACCCAGAGGAAAACGCAGATTTCTCAACACCTGGGCTTTTCGGCCACGTGTGGTGGAGCAGGAACTGGGGTTCTCTCGGTCCCTTGAACTGAGTCCTAACCTGCTCATGCAGACACACCTGCTGCCAAGCTCTTTGGACCTCTCATGTACGAGGGGATTAAATCTGCACTTGCCTAGTTGTTCTCTGTACCGTGATGCTAGACGGATGCCCATCCCTGGTGTAAGACAGATGTGAACAAGGAATGGATAATGCCAGCTGCACACCAGCTCTCACCCCTCCTTTGCTTCTATTCTCTGCAGTTAATACCAGAACTTTTATTTAGAAAGACATTTCCACAACTGGACTAGACTTTAGAGCAGGGGTCGGCACAACCCTGTGAAGGGCTAGATGGTAAATATTTCAGGCTTTAAGTCATAGTCAGTCTTTGTCCAGCTACTCAGCTGTTTCTGCAGTGGGAACAGCCACAGATGATATGTAAATGAACGGGCATAGCTGTGTTCTAATAAAAACTTACTTTTGGACACTGAGATTTGAAATTCAGATCATTTTTGTGTGTCTCAGATAGTATTTTTCTTCTATCATGTAAAAATGTAAAAAGCATTCCTAGCTGTGGGCTGCACAGGGCACAGGCAGTGTTGGCACATGAACGCCACTCTGTTGGCAGGTTGTCTGGGTTCTACCGATGCTTCTCTACTCATTATGCAGAAGTGGCCAAGTCCCTTTTTCTCGGTTTCCATCTTCTTTCCCATCTGGACAATGAGGGGACTATAAGTGATAACCTTGTAAGGCCCTCCAGGTCCCAAGTATCCCAATTCTGATTTTTCATCAACAAATTATTATTAAAGATTTATTTTATTTATGCATACAATAGCTGGGGTGTAGGCCAGAGGTGTAGGGGATGAGAGGACTCACCAGAGACAGAGAGGAGGGCAGAACAGGCAGATCTACTGAAATACACTGCTGAGGGGAGCAGGGAATGAGACAGAAGTCTGCTGCGCCATGTGGGTAGCTCCCTGGCGGGGGATGGAACTCGTGCTGCAGTGGCTGCTGACAGCTTGATAGTGCTGAGACTTAACCCCTTAGGCCACCAGGGAGGCACCAACAATTATTGAGCATCTATTACCAGGCATTGTTGTAAATGCTGGGCTGAAGCAGCAAATAAAACTTTCTGCTTACATGGAACTTACATTTTAGTGAAAAAAAAAGTTAAGTTGGGGGCCTCCCTGGTGGCGCAGGTGGTTAAGCACAGCGCTGTGAGGCTGTCTGCCTCACATCACGTAAGATGTTTCAAAGCATGTCAAGAATTCACAGGAAAAGCATTTTAGCCAAATATTGTAGAGTCCTGTCTCTTTTTATTAAGATAGATTCAGTTAATTTCTGAATCAGCAACTATATCTGGGACTTTTTAATACTACTATATAAAAGAACAAGATTAAGTCTTGCTTTATAAATTAGATGTTAAGTATTTCCTGTATGTAATCATTAAGTTCCTAAAATAGATTTGATCCCATCATATTTATTCTTTTTTTTTCTCTCCTGCTCCTATCCAGTCCTTCAGCAAATCCTGTCAACTCTACCTTCAAAACGCATCTTGAATCCACCCGCCTCTCAGCACCTTCCACACTACCATTTTTGGTCAGCCAATGTTATCTGGCCTGCACTATTGCAGTAACCTTCCTTGTTACCTCCCTGCCTCCACTGGTGTCTTCTCAGTAGCCAAAACGATGCTTTAAAAATCTGAGTGCGTCATTCCCTTTTCAGTGACTTATTCCACCTGGAATAAAATCCACAGGACTCCACAGCCCTAAATGACCTATGCCTGCCAATCTGACTCACTGACTGTTACCCCTGTGTTGACTGTTCCCCTGCCGCCCTGGCCTTGCTGCCCCTTGAAGACAAAGGGAACTCTTCTGCCACCAAGCCCTGTACAGGGGCGCGTCCCCAGAGCCCATGACTCTGGTCAAAGGTCAATGATCAAGTTGCCTCCTGACCTTTTTAAAATCACAGCCCTGTCACACTTCTATTCCCCTTCATTTTCTAAATACCGCTTATCACTGCTCAGTCACATCTTATGTGACTCTCTTTCCCAATACTGAGATGGGACAGAAATGAACTGGTTAGGGTTACATTTTGCACATGATAAAAAAGGAGCTGAGACTAAGAAGACAGTCCACACCTTCCCCCTGAATATTTCCTTCAATTCTCCATTCCCGTGTAAATCAAAGTGACAAGTCACAGAATTTTAGCAGGAGCAGTAAGCAAAGTACAGGTAACTTTGTAACAGAGTGGACCAGGCTGACCTACATTGTACAGATCTTGATCAGACTGCTCTCAGCACATTATTCCTTTGAAACTGCTACTCTGAAAGAGGGACAGTAAGGTACTTTCAGACACTTTCCCTTGACAACTTTTTTCCAAATAGTTAAGATGTGCAGTGAGAAGTGAGCCTCGTTCCTCCTGTCTAACAACAGAAGCAGGTGGTAGAGGGTGGCGCATGCTGCCTCTGAGGCCACCTCTAGCCAGAACCTTCCACAGAGGCTCTTAGAAACAGCACCCACCAGGACACACAGTCCGAGTCCTAGCAGGGAGCTGCAGTCTTTGCTCCAGGAAACGGATGAGAGGACACGATCACACGGACACTGTCTTGCATTTATTCACACAGAGGAGTAAGAATTGGTACAAATAATAAACATTGCTTTAAATACAAATAAATAGCTCTGGTTTCTAAAGGAAACAACTCTATGTAATTCAAAGTTAAGTATTTTCTAAATTCCTATTAAAAATAGAAGACTATTTTGCATTAAGGAAGTCCTACTTCACCATAACCCTTTGAGGACTTAAGGATAAAAGGGTGAATTCTATACTCTAAGAAGTCACCAGAAAAATGGGAGATAATGCTCCCACCTTCCCTGAACTATCCCCCACATGGAAGAAGAGTTACTTTTATTATAGACATCATCACTAATAAACGCAGAACGTATTTAATATCTAAAGATATCTAAAAAGATTTACCTTGGGAAAGCTGTAAGAATTTCTTTGAACCAGCTGTGTATATTCTGAAGCCTTACTAGGCGATGGTTTTTGTTCAAGCGCTTCAAACTGATGCTCATAGGAAGACTTAAGTGACTTTACTGAAATGTTCCTCTTGCTAGGAAAGGTAGTGGCGGACAGGGTGCGATCACTAAGAATGGCCGCTGGGGCAAGGGTGAGGCGGGCCAGGTGCCGCAGCAATGGTGCTACCCACGCAACAGCGCCTGGACATGGCACCACCGTGACCAACACTGCTGACACAGAAACATTCCCGAACCTGCGGACTCATTTTTTTTTTTTCCTCTCTAGTGTTACATTTGGAAAGTCCCAAATAGCAAAAATGGGGGAGAAGTACGTTCCAGGAATGAAGAATCATTTAAACTCATGCTGTCTTTCAATCCTTGTAAAACTACACCAGCCACGAGGTCATCATATTCTTCGTCCCAGAGCAGTGCCTGTCCCACTGGCTTCCGCGTCTCTCGTGTGCCCCCTCCTCACCCTGCCCAAGAGAGTTCAGCTTCTACTCAGACCCCTACACAATGGTCAGAAAATAGTATGTGTGACAGCGATCGATGTAGCAACATCTAGGCTGTTAAAGAAAATTTGCTTTTCTATTTAGATTGGCCATGATACAATTCCAAATAGAACACTCTCATGCTATAAAACAACCTCATGCAATAAGAGCAATTTTAAAAGTCCCACGTTAATAACATTTGGTATTATAGAAGGCAGGATTATTTAGATTTAAAAAAAAAATGATCACTATAAAATGAAAGCTGGGTTTCCAAATAGATCTTCTGTTGTGGTATAAAATGCTAAATTTGATTCTACAGTTTTGTCGACACAAACAATTTAAAGATATACACCACGTTTTCCTAATTGGAATTCTGAATCAATAAGCATGATTCTTAAACAGATTACCACAACATTTGCTCAAAGAACCAGCTCGGTTTTGCCAAGAACTTTCCCTTTTTAGTCCAATTGGAGGGATTTCTATGGTAAATTCTGGAACAACAACTCCAAACACGATTCGTCTTTCACTTCCCTCCATCTCACACTTTTTTCCTATGTTGTAAAGACACTTGAGCACAGAAAAATGCTCAGTTTTTTTTAGTTTCCTGATTTAAATAACGTGTTTTATGTTTGCCTTTCTCTCTGGCACATTATACAATGTTTCTGGAGTTACGAATCCAAACAAATCAGCCAGCTAGAGCATCCCAGTGTTCAAATCACAATTTTGGATACAATCCTATTTATTCTGGAAGATGCTCAATTCCACACATACTTCAGGGAAGAAACATCCATAAGAACATCCAAAAAGGTTATGTCGCCAAACTCTACCATGTGATTGTGCTGTGGATAGTACCGCTCACATCTACAAAGTACAAGGCAGAGGGTTTTAGGTGTGAAGATCAATTTGCTGTTGCTGCAACAGTAAACCATCATCTTCGAGATTTCCAAGCGGTTCTAGAATAAGGAGTAGTCCTCTTTTTATCCGGTGGCTTAAAGTAGGAATAAACAGGAGCTGCTGGATACTCTGCATCAGGATTTTCTGCCATCATCTTCAGTTTTGCTTCAATGGCTTTTATTTTTGCAGTGACGCTGGAAAAAGGAGGGCAGAAGATCAGAGTGGGCCTGTTGCATTCAGAAAATAAATACTTGTGTTTTTCACCTTTCTCATGCCTCTGATGCATACCGAAGCAGCAACAGATCTTCAACTATGAACATTCAAACATTTCATGTGTTACTTAATGACAGGGCTATGTTCCGCAAAACATGCAGGCAGGTGACTTCACGGCTGTGAGGATGTCACAGTGTGCTTTGCACAAACTCAGGTGGTGTAGCCCACGACACACCTAGGACAACGTGCGGCCTATTGGGACCACTCTCTCCGCGGTTGAAGACCGAGATGTAATTAAGCAACACATAACAGCGTAAGTTTTTATTGGAAGTCCAAACACTGTGCGAGTAGTTCACATTTTGTTACATTTAATTCTCAGGCACAAACACTGTCCAGCACCTGTGCCTGGTGGATAGGAGCACTCACAAGTAACCCATGTAGGACTTAAAAGCAGAGTCTACAGAGCGATCTGCATACCCATGTTCCCAGCAGCCTCATTCATAACAGGCGTCAATAATGGTTTAGTGAGTGAGCAAAACAGAGTGTCACATTTTAAAAACATTCAGCCTTAAAAGGATGTAAATCCTGACATGCTACACGTGGATGAAACACAAGGACACTATGCTAAGGGACATCAATCAGTCACAAAAGGACAAATACCGCATTTCACTTATATGAGGTACCAAGAGTAGCCAAAATCACAGAGATAGAAAGTAGAAAGATGGTGCCTAGGCTGGGGGAGGTAGGAACGAGGAGCTATTGTTTAATGGGCACAGAGTTTCAGTTTTACAAGACGAAAAGCACCATGGAGGTGGATGGTAGTGGTGTCGGACAATATGAATGTATTTAGTATCGCTGAGCTGTACACTTAAAAATGGTTAGTATATTTCATGTGTATTTTAGAAAACTGAGGGAAAAAATTCATGTAGGATTGAAAACATCAAAGTAAGGTAGATTATAGCCTTATTTTGCAGATGAAGGAGCTGAGGGACAGAAAGCTGTCCAGGACACAGCTAACACAGCTAGTAAGGGGTGCATTTGAGATCTGAAAACACTCTGACTCCAAAGCCTAGGCTATTAACTTTTCACTCTACCACCCTTTGAATCACTGAAGAATAGTGGCAAAAACACCCTGGAAATTCTATATTCTCTTTTTCACTGACACACATGTGTTTATATAGGCCAACATTTATAGGGTGCTTATAAGAGCTGGGGACTGTGTCTAGCACTTCACTTACATTGTTCCTAATCCTTGCAACAATCTTGTTAAGTGTCATCACCCACATTTTATAGATGAAGACACAAATGTAGAGAGGTAGAGATCTGCCCTAGGTGCATACAACTAACAAGCTGTGGAGCCAAGATTCAAGTCCCGTTTGTTTATCATCGACGCCCAAGCTCTCTCTCCCCCTCCACCAGGTTGAAAGCTGAGCAGCCCTGTATTACGGAGCAGGGTGAGGAGACACTGTGGAAGCTGAGAGGAGTTCCCTCCTGATCAAGGGCAGTGCACAGCTCTCGGGCAAAGGCTGCTTTCTGGCTGACGACCCCCTTTCTTTTCCCTTTTTGATGCTGTCAACAGTCTCTAGGCAGGGAGAGAAACTTGCAAGGGAATACAGTCACAGTCTTTTACAGATCCCACAAAGTATACACATCTGCGGCAAATACTCAGTTTTACACGGGCAATGTAAAATTAAAGAAATTAAGTTACAGTAGAAGTGAACAGTGAGGCGTGACCAGATACACCCCCACACCTCTTCCATTAGTGGCCAGCCACTGGTTCATTCTGCGCGAGTCACAGGGAAACAACCTTGTCTAGTGAGCCAGAGATAATAATAGAAAGCTACAAACTGAGGTTCTCTGGATTAAAAAATGAATTGGAAACACCAGACTATCTGTAAAAAGAGAAAACATGGAAACGAAGAAACATGAAGATCATCAAGCACGAAGGCATCGTCCTTTGTGGGTGATCACCCCTAGTAGACTATTGCAAGTATCAGAAACAATGTAAGTGAAGTCTGACTTATGGAAACCAATCTGGGATCAAAAAGGTTCCCGGTATGGGGAAAACAGCATAGTGGACTTAAGTTCCCAGTGAACCTACAAAAGTCATTATAATTAAAAAAAAATTTTTTTCCAGGACTACAAAGCAATAAAGCAGCACAAAACTAAGAAATATCGATGACATGAAATTCAATGAACTATAAAATAAAATTTAATTTACTAGTTTTATCACTCCTAAAAACTTTTCGGGATTATGGCTGCTTGCAATTTAATGAGATGCTTGTAATGAGATGCTCGGTTTTGTTGGTCCAGATAATACATGAGGGGATTTTTCTTTTTCTGTCTGTCCCTCCATCAAACAGGCTCAGCTTTCCTGAGTTTGCAGCTGAGAGCTGATTTCTTTCCTCCCCCGGAGCAGGCTGCAGAAGTGTACTCCTGCATTTACAGCCTCGCTTGCCCATTCTGAAGCAGTAACTGAAAGACTGCTGCACAGTAATCCTGGCTTTGAATCTGGATTCTGCTACCTGTGTAATCTTGGCAAAGAAATTTTACCTTTCCTAGGAGGGTTTGGGGTCAAAATAAGGGGGATGCAATTGTACAGGGAATATAAAAATTAAAAAAAAAAAAAACAAAGAAGTTTTACCTTTCCTAGCTTCAGTTTCCACAAATATAAAACGAGGGTAACAATATTTTTACCAGTATTTTTATGATTATTAAATGACAAGGAGCATGTGGAGTATTTAACACAATGCCTGCTTCATAGTAAGCTCAAAAAACTCTGGCTATTGTTAAATTTTCTCCCTAGGCAATGCAAAACAAAAAAACCTAAAAAACCAAAAACCCTCTACTTCTGCTCAAACATCCACTTAACTTCCCCTTTCTCTACCCAACCCGTAGTTCCTTCTGTTTTGAATTAACTCCAAAGAAGTGACTGACCATTTGTATATATTAGAAGCAAAACTGTTATAGTTGCTGAAATCGTACACAGAATTAAAGTGTTGCAAACTGAAATTTTACATTAAGAAACTCAGACTCTGGGAGGAATTAAGTGTATAATGACAAACCTAAAGAAACTCAACACCTTACTGAAGTGCTTGTTGTCAGGACAAGGACTGTGCGTGACTTACCTTTGTAGTCCAGTGCTCAGCACGATGGCTGTTGGGCAGTAGGTACATAAGTATATCCAGCCTTTTTTGAATCAACAAATTCTACAAATGGGTAGTGTATGATCCTTGGGGCAGGGCAGGAAATGTACACATTCTGGGGGATTAACTGAACACCTCTCTCTCAATATGTCAAAGTCAGTAGATTCACTTACTTAGTAGATTCTACTCTAAATCAAGAGCCTGCAAATTTTCTAGATTTAGGAATGAAGTTCTGGAAGAAATGGCACAATTCCGTGAATAACAGTCTGTCCACGGGACACCATCTTACCTTAGATTGGACTGAGCAGGCTCAGTGCTTGAGGATGGCTCGAGACTGATTGGAAGGATCTTATCATTCTTGTTATGATCATATCTCTGAAAATAAGAAAAAGGGGAATTACTTCACCTCAGTGAAAACCAGCACGTTACTACAGTGCTGGATTCAGAAACACCAGCCCCACAATCTATTGTGAGTGTATTAACAGACATTTTAGGACTGCTTTACATTGGGGATTAATGCAGAACTCCAGAATTTTGGCCTATACATTTAGAAAAAGTTTAGAAGCTTCCCACTTAATCATTATCCCTCCTTAATCTGCAGGGAAATAACTTCAACTTCCAAATTCACGGAATGTACAAATACCCAGCAGGACTGCCCCCTCACATGCTTATTTTCACTATCATATATCACCGCTTACAATATTTATTTTGCTTTATCCAAAACACTTAAAAATTTTGCTAGATTTTCACAAGATACCAAGCGTAACAATCAACTCTTGACAGGTCTGAGTGGAGAATAAAAGTAGTAAAAGCTTTCAGCTACTGATATTGACAACATTCTACCACAAAAGAACTGTTGAATTTGGTGTCAGATAATTATACACTTCCTGGAAAAAGTAAATATAATATTAAATAAGTCAGAAGACTGATCAAAAAGACTTGTAGAAGAGAATGGCGAGGCAGAGCAGCTCTCACATGAGAGACAGGAAGGAGGATGATTTCTCTTGCCAGTCTTCTCAGGGAGGTGCAGAACAAGAACATGACAGTATGGCAAGTGAGATTTGATTTCCTTGAGTAAAAACGCATTTAGTAATTCTCCTTGTTGGTTCTATTGTTAAAGCAACGTGTCCTAGAAACTGAGACAGCTCTGCGATTGCCTGAACACTCGTAAGGAGCTGAAACAGTGTCTGTTTCAGCGTGGAGGCTGTGTGCCAGTGCCTGATTTCTGTGAGACTCTACTGGGAAGTGTGCTGGGCAGAGTATCTGAGCAAAAACCAAGCTCCTATGACTAAAGATCGAAGCTCCAATTTTAACTGTCACAATCTTTTCACGGGTAGGTCTGTCAAAACCCCACCACAGAAGGAAGAGAATCAATGCCGGGGACTGCTCCAGTCCACACACATCACCACCTCTGTGCTGGGCAAAACAGAACGTCATTCAATTCTTTTTTAATGGTCATAGTCTTTCCAGTGCATTCTCCCAAGAGACCAACTACAAGATGAACAAGGCAGTTTGCCACTTCTCCGGCATTGGAGACAACACAGGCACTGCAGGTTCCACAAATAACCCTCAAAATCTCTGGAGTAAGGAGATGCCATTGCTTTAAGCACTCATACAAACTACCCATTTCCTAAGCATTTAGAATAAACATATTCAAACCCTCCACAGAATTGAGAGGCTGGGAAGAGTCTAATAATGCCTAAAGCAACTAATTTTAAAAATAAATACATTTTTTCCTCCAAAGAACCCCCACACCAAAAAAAAAAAAAAAAGAGAGAGAGAGAAAGAGAGAGCGCGCGCGGGAGCGGTCTGCATATACACATCAGCCACATGGAAAAATCAATCAAAAACAGAATCTGTGGGTATGTGGAGACAAACAACCGAGGAACTTAATCCCTCCTGAGATGTTTCTCAAAAGAAAAATCTGGCAACACACATGGTAAATACAAGTAGGAGACCTAAGCCTGGCTGTTCCAGATGTGGAGGCTGAGATGCAAATGGGGAAGTGGACAACTGTCTTTTGGGAAACTCATTTAGCATGAGCTTGACGTTGCCTTTCTAGCCCACTAGACTCACCTTGACTTGAGCATGTGCCCACCGCACCACCAGCTTCTTCGACAGAGCCAGTTTGCCATTGAGACACTGGATAGCTTGTTCAGCTTCCTGTCCGGGAAAGAGACTGATGTCAGTGAAATAATCAAATGCCTACCTAGCCATATGTAGTCTCCTAGGTCCTCAATGCTTTTCAGGGTTGAATTTTCAACCAGCTTTTGGTAAAGAACTGGCAAAAAGGGTTTACAGTAAGAAAGCGTGACTAACAAAAAGGATAAGAGTTTTTAAGTCAAATAAGAATTCAGAGCCTGCCTGTCACTGACTGGGGGTGACAGTGAACTATGGGGGAGATCAGTCTCTCTGAATAGCACCTTTTTCACCTGTAAAATGTGGATACTATTACTTGTGCCTCTCTGGTAGATGTGAGGACTCAGAGAGCGCATGGTCAGCACTCAGCCAGTTAGCTAAAGGTACTGTTTTTCTTAGGTGACACCTCTCCACATACAGTTCTTAGGGTAGCACTTCCTGTGTCAAGAAACTGCATTCCTCTCAGGAACCCTAGAACTATATCCTGGACTCGGGCTTATACTCCCTGGATTCAAAGTTAAGAAACAGTAGTAGCTTCAAAGGATATGGGAGTGAAGGAAACTAGACCGGAAAAAGCAGGAGTGAGTCAAAGAGGCTGCGAGCAAGGTATCTGTGTGAGCCAATCTGTGCACCTGGTTTCCAGGGCCAAAAATTCCCTGACCCTTTCCCCATCAGACACGGGAGCCACAGGGTTGAAAGGAATTCCTGAAGCTGGATAACAGTCACTCCAGGACCTTCCCAGGAAACCTGGCTGTACTTTTCCATCCTGCCAAACCTTCTCTGCTCCATTTGTATCCATGAGGCAGTCAGCCAAGTGGAGCCCACGTTGGCTGGGGGTGAAGAAGCCCTTAAGGAACAGGAAGAGGAACAAGGAGCGTCTATGTGAGACTGCTGCGTAACCCCAGCATTCTAGTCTAGTTTCACAGAAATCTCTTACTCCTTTGGAGCTTGCCATCATGACATTCAACAATTTATTTATTGAGTCCACACTATGGGACTGACACTGAAAGCCACTGGCACCCCTGTCTCACTACTGCACATAAAGTGAGAGGGATAGATTTTATTCTTCTTCTAAGTTTCACTGGAAAAATCAGTGCCTATGGGGCACACTCTACAAATTCCGTAGAATCAGCAGTAGTCAGATGCGAGCAGGGCACAAATGTTTTAAAAATAATTTTCTATCTTTGTATGTTATTTCAAAGACCATATATTTAAGAATATTATGAAATGACATTGGTGTTTTCATATGTGCCCTCGTTTATTCTCTCAATTTCCGATAAGGTAAAGAAAGAGAGGATGTATTTTTAACCCACTTTTTAAATGAAAACTGAAACCAAAAGAGGTTAAGAGACTTATATAAAGTTAATAAAGGGGTCAGAGGCAGAAGTTAGGCTTTGTGATAGCTAGTCCAGTGTCTCTGAGCCAATACCCAGCCCCAACATGACCACTGGTTTTAGAATCCTCATCACATGCTCTCATTAAGGAAGAATAAGAGTTTTCAAAATGCTAACCTTATGGGGCATTCTTTCAGTTCCCTCTGAGATATTTAAACAACAATGTGCAACTTATCGGAATAACAATGTGCAACTTATCACCTACCATACCACATTTGTAAAAGTTAGAAATAAAAATTGCTAGCAGTGGTAAGGACAAGGATATTCCCAAACAGACTCCACCAACATCATTTCTCAAAGGCTATCCGGTAGTTGTATGAAGAGAAAACATGCATGGCTTTTGCTGATGTCCTCCATTTCCATGAATGCAGTGAGTCTGGACACAGAGCTATAAAGAGATTCACTAGTGTGTGTGCTTATAAGTCAATGGGGACAAACGAAATGAGCTAACAGCTGGGGATTAGTCAAGTAACTTGGCACATATTCATATAATGAAATATTATACAGGCATCAAAAATTATGTTGATTAGTTTTTAAACTGAGATGCAAGTTACATGTAATAAAATGCATAAATTTTAAAGCTGCACACATCAATGAATTTTTATACACACACATGCATATATACACACAGTCATACACAGTACACTGGTGAGGTCACAATGACATAGAGCATTCCCTTGATGAATACCAGATGACAGAAAAATTTTATACTTTGAGTGGTAAACATGATAACATGATTCTGTTTGTGTACTGTAAACTGCATGTGTTTATGTCTGTGTAAATGTGCAGAAGAGATCAGAAAAACATATATCTAAATATTAAGTGATTATATCAACTAAAACATATATCTAAATATTAAGTAATTATATCAACTAAGTGACGTACTTATCTATATTTTAATCTATAAAAAGCATGTATTTCTTCTTGTTTTTTCTTCTTTTTTTTTTTTAATTTTATTTATATGAGCACTGGGTACAGTCAGAAGCGTGGAAGGGTGAGAGAATCCATCAGAGCCAGAGCGGGGAGCAGAAAAGGCAGACTGACTGAAATACACTGCTGAGGGGAGCAGAGGACGTGGCAGGAGAGGTCTGTGCGCCATATGGGACCCTCGCCAGCGGCTGGGGATCGAACCAGCGCAGCAGAGGCTGTAGGCAGCTTCGCAGCCCAGCGCTCAACCGCTGCGCCATCAGGGGAGGCCCACCCCCCTCCCAAAAGCATGTATTTCTTTCATAAGAAAAACATCCAAATACAATTATTAATAATATATGAGGCAATGCTTTTTACAAATGACTAATAAAGTTACAGAATACTAAGCAGTATCTCCACATCATTCAAATTCAACTTATCAATGCATGTCTATTATAAGGGCTAAATTTTAATACGAGATAATACATGTATATATCACAGTTGAAGCTGAAGGTCCTCAACCTCTACATATATTTATTTATTTATTTTAATAAATGGATTCATTTATTTATTTATACAAGCACTGGGTACAGTCAGAGGCACGGGAGGGTGAGAGAATTCACCAGAGCCAGAGCGGAGAGCAGAGCAGGCAGAGTGATGAAGTACACTGCTGAGGGGAGCAGCGGGCGGCAGGAGAGGTCTGAGCGCCATGTGGGACCCTCCTCCAGTGGCCGGGGAGCAGCCGGGGATCGAACCGGCACTGCAGAGGCTGCGGGCAGCTTCGCAAGCCAGCACTCAACCGCTGCGCCACCGGGGATGCCCTCTCTACATATATTTAAATCCATATGCATTTGTTGTGAGACACTGAGAAGGGTACATTTAAAAAAAAAAATCTTTAAAAAGAGTTTGTGGGTGGTTCACCACAGAGAGGGAGGCCTTCTGTACCACGGGGCAGAACTATGGAAAGAAAAGAGGCTTTGTTGGCCAGCCACTGAGGGGAAAAACAAAACAGAGCAGGGAGGAGGATGGCCATGTGCTTCATGTGGGCATCCCAAGCATTTGGTCAAAAAGTAGGTCAGCTGCCTTAGCCGGCGAGCCCAGAAAAGCAGGTTTCGAAAGCTGCTCACGAGTGCACGTGTGCCTGAGGACGTCCTCTCAGACTCGGGGCCGGGCACGGAGAGACGGTAAGACACGGCTCCTGCCCACAAGAAACTGCGACTCTAGTCACCTGGAGAGATGCACAAATAGGGATGCGAGAGAGTGCTAGGCAGTGTGAAGGCTGGTGGGGGAGCCCAATTACCTGCTTAGTTTCAAAGTTAACGAAACAGTACCCTCGAGGCTGTCCCTCCAAAGCACCTGACTTGTGAAAGAGGAAGTCAAACTGCTTTACTGTGCCGAACTTCTGGAGGAGCTTGAGGAGGTGGTATCTGTGGAGAGAGAACAGCCTGTGAGCATGCACTGGGAAGTTGGTGTGTCACTTAGCTGAAGTGCAAGATAAAAGCAGGAGATAATTTACCCCAGGGAGAGAATCTAGTGCCCTCACCCTCCGCCTTCCTCTGAATCGCTATGTTAAGTTTATTTGGCAAAGAGAGTTGTTTGCCTCTATTTGGAATGGGAACTAGAATTGTCATGGCTATGCGTCTGTCCAGCACAAAAATACCAAACAAAAAAACCACACCTAACAAACAGCTGTCTGGCCCACAAGCACCATTTGTTTTTCTTTTGGAGAAAAGCTCAAAAATAGTGTCGATTTATTTATTTTTAATTTCTTGGCAATGACATAGTATTTGTGAGTAACTGTAACTCCATCAGAAACACACACCCACACTCCCAAAGTCAAAGCCTATCCTCTCTCAAAAACAAAGTAACAACACACAAATGACTAATAAAGTTACAGAATACTAAGCAGTATCTCCACATCATTCAAATTCAACTTATCAATGCATGTCTATTATAAGGGCTAAATTTTAATACGAGATAATACATGTATATATCACAGTTGAAGCTGAAGGTCCTCAACCTCTACATATATTTATTTATTTATTTTAATAAATAGATTCATTTATTTATTTATACAAGCACTGGGTACAGTCAGAGGCACGGGAGGGTGAGAGAATTCACCAGAGCCAGTCATTTGTAAATTTTACACATATTCACATAAGCAAAGCAACATCACTGGAAAATTTCCCTATTAGATTTCAGTTAGTTAGCCCCAAACTGCACTTGAGAGAAACTGCCCAACACTGAACCACAGCAAGGGGCACTTCCACAAGTGCTTGAGAATTTCAATCCGTGACGTGACTGGACGTGACGACAATGTGGAACCTCAGCAGACTGCGGCTGGTTCCGCACAGGGCAGGGGACCCGGCCAGTCATATAAATCATCCAGCCACAGATAGTTAAGCATCCTCAGTTGCCTTAACACAGCTTGTATTCTGGAATATAATGGAATAAAGAATACAGACAGCCAAGGAAGAAATTTACTCCTAGCTGGAGCTCATTCCCAGCTCTTGCTGCCACTCTACCCTTGTCTTCTTAGAGTCCTTGCTCTAAAACTTATTTGGTTTCTATAGAGCTTTCAAGTTATTCAAACAGATGTGGCCTTAACAGGTTGCTGTGGCCAATCTCAATCCTGACTTCCTGTCATCTGATGTAAGGGTGAGACAAACCAACAGTTCTCCTGTTTCCTTTTCCTTTGGCCTTCCTCCTGGCATCCTCCGCACTATTCAAATGGAGTCAAGGCTTTCTCTAAACAATGCTGTCCCTGTGATACTAAAAAGGTATCAGCCCACATGCTAAATCTGTTATTACTGGGAATTCTACCCCATAGGGAGTCAGTAAAGCTGTCATTACAGCCACATTTATATTCACATTGTTTTCTAGAAGAAACTCATCAAGATTTTATTCTTGAGTAAGAATCTCCTTTGGGAGGCAGAAGATATGAGATGGATCATAAGCTATGCTAAATTTGATACTGATGTACATTAGCAAGCAAGTCCATTACCCTGGATCACGTGCCTGACACGGTGGAGCAAGAAGACATAACGCAGGTCTTGGACTGGGGCAGGAGGCAAGGGTCCCAGAGCACATTGTGGCTCTAAATCTGGTCTTTAGACCCATTTCAAAATTCTCAGCTCCCTCAGCAGGAGACCTTAATTGCCAGTGAGAATGTAGGGGGTGACCATCAGGGGAAACGGAGCACGTGAAGTGCAAACCTGTGGTTTCACTTGATTTTCTGAACAGGCTTACAACTAGGGTGACTCTCAAATGCACTGACAGATGGGTTAGAAGAGTGTTTCCCAGAGTCTTTAATTCACAGCTGCAGCTCCCACTTCCTATGCCCATTCAAACCTCAACAGTGCAGCACCCGTTGCCATGAATGGTGGGGTCAAACCCATTTAAAAAAAAAAAACCCAAAATGATCTAGAGCCCTGCAGGCTGGTCATCTTTTCATTAGTTCCATTCTGCTTGATAGCAGGAAGGTAAGGCGATCGGCATTTCCTAGGAAATGAATTTTAATTTACTCAGGAAAAAAAAAGCCAACAGATTATTCTTTGAAAAGCTAACAAATGCGTTCTGCCCAGAAGTGCGACCTTAAGATTCCAAGAACATCTGCTTAGGTCTGTGTCTTTCAACTTCTCCGGCATTTCTTTTCTTGTTTGATAATTTCTTGAAATTATCGGAACACCGAAACAAAAGGAATGAAATGTTTACTATTTTGCTTCCTGGAGATGGGGACTGCAAGCTCTGATAGTGAAAAAAGCCTGGAGAATCTTGCTTTCACATCTGCAAACACTTTCATCTGCTGCTGAAGTAGTGGAGAGCTCACCACTCATCAGAGCCTTGCTTCACTCAATGCAATGTGGGCCTTGCAGCCCCCGGGAGCTAGAGTTAGTGTACCAGTTCCGCACATATTTCTGCAACTTAATCAGTGCTTTCCGAAATGGGTCTTTAAAATGGCCTTCCTGTCTAATGGCAAAAAAAAAAAATAACTCATCTATCCAAGTGTCAAAACATAACCCCACTAAGTGGCAGGAGTTTTATCAGGTATCTGGCTATCCAGACGAATACAACTAGGTCCCTGCCTTCAAGGACTTCACATTTTGGTTAGAGAGCAGAGACTTGTAATCATACAATTACAAAACAGTGCGATACTTGCACACAGAGGCATGAACAAGAGCACACAGATGAAGAGGGCCAATTGTGCAGGGAAGGTGGTGGTTAAGAAAAGTTTCTTGAAAGGGTGTATCTGAGCGGAGCGCCTCAGTGTAAGTGCAAAGACATAAAGGTGAGAAAGTCTGATCCACTGGAATAGAGTGGGTGTGGGCATAAGAGGCTGAAAGGCAGCAGGGGGCAGATTGTGAAGGATGTTTGCTTAGTAAGGGAATTTTAATTTGATGCCGCAGGCAATGGGAAGCCAATGAAATGACATTTAAGATTATTTTCATTGCACAATTTTAGAGAAAATTCTTTTTATAAACTTACAGAAATTAGTACCACAGGTCTTTAGGGTCTATGTGCTCTTTGTTATCACATTGTGATTCAAATTTAAGAGAGCAAATAAGAAAAGTTATTTCATGGAAACCAAGGCATGAAAAGAAGCATAGGCAATGAAGGAAAAGTAAGAAATGGGCTAAAAGCGAAATGGGTACTTTCAGGGTTGGCTCATGCATCTGTTCTTCCCTGTATTACAGTGTACCCAGAAAGCCACATCAGAAGGACATTCCCACCTGGATGGCTTTCCACTGCTTTTCAGTTCACTGAATAAACCTCAAAACTGACCCTTTAACTGGCCTCCCTCCCCGCCCCAAGCAAACCGTCTTTTTCCAGCTACCCCACGGTCAGTGTGGACATGATTTTTTTACATTTCTTAGGCAGAAACATTTGGGTCACCTTTAACTCTCCTTTCTTCAGTCACCTTCTTCATCTCAGACTCACCCATAGGTCTGCAAATTTACGGTGTCTATCTAGGTGGTATTAATGGCAGGTGGTGATGACGGCAGTCTCTCCTAGTTATTCTTCATTTTAGTCTTTGCCCCTATATATCATCCTACGGATATTGATGTTTGATTTCCCTAATAAGACATTACTTTTATGAAGTGAAGTTCCTGCTAAACACCCACAATAAACTCCTCTGCATGAAATTCAAGTGTGGCTGAATAGATTTAAAGACATACCTTAATCTAATGGAATTCTATCTATTCAGCTATCACTTTCAATGTCATGTTTGCAATCTGCTATCAGCACAAATTAGAGTATGTCACCATTCCCCTAAACCCAAGTCTCTAAGACCTACTCAGTCATCCAAATATTCAGACATTGTTAGTTACAAAATGGTCACTATTGCAATTACAAAGTGAACACAAATAAGCAAGGAGCAAAATATCAGAGTGCTAGATATCAGCAATGCATATTCTGTTAAGAGGAGACTGAGGAATAATTCTACTATAACTTCAGCATTAAAGCTAGGCATACACGCAGAAGATTACTAGAGTTAATTATGAAATGAATGTTTTAAAAATTGCCACTGTTTTACATATTCCAGTAACCACTCATGACAGTAGGTAGCACAATTTGTCTTCTAGCCAGAGGTGAGAACATTCAAATCAGGAGGGGCATTCAAATCAGCTTATACAGCAGATCAGGAATAGGGGGGTAATGAGTACATGACGGTGAAACAGCAGGAACTGGCAGCAATGTGTAGGTGGGTGTTAGTTTAATCACGAAAACTGGAGGGTGATTGGCAAACTTCTATCAAGAGTCATTAGAAGTTTAGAGATCTAGGTTCAAATAATACCTTAAGATTGGACTTCAAGCCAGGCACTAAATGTTTACATAAATTATATCAAAAAATCCTTCAATGTTTGGCCATTACTCTATCTCAGTAATTAGTCTGGGCCCATAGTTACCTAATAGAGAAGAAAGGGATCCAGAAATTGAAAAATTGGAAGGAAAACACATATTTTCACAAAATAAGAACTACCCTACTAGAATGTTAGGTTGCTTTGTTCCAAGGAAATCTCATGCTGACCAAAGGTTATGACTGACAGTTATATTGCTATTTAGTTTGCTACTACTTAGTTGTTTAATTAGTTACTACTTAATTAGTTTTGCTTAAAAAAGGAAATGTTTTAAGATAAGGACTCCACAGGAGAAAATGAAAATGCACTCTGGTGAGACAGACATGGGAGGCCGTCAAGGCCCTGGTCCGCAGCTCACTCTGTGATGCGATGTAAAGAGCACAGGGTTATCAGTGGGGAAGCTGATTCAGGGTTCCCACTAACAGCTCTAGCTGAAGAAAACATTCACATACTCTTATGACATACGCTGAGGTGCAAGATGTCTATTTGAACTCTCCTGTCAAGTATGGGACACAATTAGAACAAGAGTCTCATCGCAGGGAATTGGAGCCCAAAGAAGTGTTTCCACCCTCCAGATTTCCATTAAGATAAGCAGAGGTGCGGATGGAAACCACTCTTGGGAGCCTCCTCTCACAGCTTGAATTTTAGACGATGGAAGTAGTTATTCTGATCAATAGACATTAATTGAGAGGTTGGACAGAATCACACATTCATCACCAAAATCATGAATCATAAAGAGAACCAAACTAAATGCACTGTCTATATTCTAGGGCCTGTCATCAAGATAACATGATATGGGGTGGGGGAGCAACACTTCTTAAATATCAACAGTAATTTGAGCTTGAACAGGCCAAAGGAACTAAACTTTCCATCACAATCTTGTTTCCTTAATTTACATTCCTTCTCCTCTCTCCAACCCCAACTCCTTACATATATTTCCTCTCATTCCAGACTTAATCAAGTAGGTTACCTGTTTCCTCTCCCTTCGCCTGTAATCCTATTCCAAAGGGTGTACCTTCTAGGACTGCTGATCTGCTCCATGATTGCTTTAAACACTGATCCCTCCATCCACACCCGATCCGCATTCCCCCACCCCTGCAAACAGCTTAATTCACTTAATCTTAACTCTCCAGTCACCTTTTCCACAATGGAGGGAGGAAAATCCTCTTAATTCCCTCTGCTAAGAAGTTCCTTTCTATCGTAATGGCCATGATGGCGAGAGGGGAGTCAGAGCAATTCAACTATTGATAGTTTTGTGACCTTGGGCAAGGCACTTTGGTCTCCTGGACCTCAGTTTCTATTGTAGGATAAGAGAGCTGATCATAACAAAAGTGTTCAAATATATTGCATGGAGCCTCTAAGTGATTGCCAAAGAAAGGGTGGCAGTTGCCAGAAGCTTTTAGATGTACTCTTCCCCACCTTAATCAGAATAGCTCTGGGTTTTTATTTTATTTATAGTTTTCAATTACTTTAAGATAAGGTTTCTCAGACTTAAAGTTTGAAAACAACATAGCATGGCATTTGGCACACGGCAGGCGCTCAGATCATTTAATGAATAAATGACAATCAAAGGGACCAGGATGATCTCTATGACTGCTTTTAGGAATGACCCTCCCATGACTGCTCGACATGAATTACAGTCAAGTGGCAGCTCTCTGTCTGCAAAGGTACTAAGACTTCTGCTTGTTCCTTCAATTTGAGGAAGAAGAGACACTCAAGGCTGATTGTGAAAATAATTTCCTATAGTCATGGAATACAAGGAATCAAATAGTTGCAAATACCACACAGAACATCTTTGGCAAGCAGGAAAAAAATGTATTTGTTTTAAAGGACAGCTAAGTCTGTGTGCCTGCAGTAGAAGAGTCCTCATGTAAGAAAAGTGACAAGATAGCAAGCCAATATCATCACATCTCCTTCAAAGATAATTAAAACATAATAAAAGGGCCAAAACATATCCTACACCCCTTCAAATTGTCTGAACATCATCATCACAAACATCCCAATTTTGTAAATAATAAATTAAGATGACTGAGACTTACTCGGTGATTTTGGGGTCCAAATTGCCAATCCATAACCGGTGCCCTTCCTGTAGGGAACCCTCTGAAAGGATGGATGCGTTCTCCAGGGGAAGAGTTTTGGTTTCTGCTTCCATCAATCTCTATGAAATGCTAAAGAAAATGTAAGTATTCAGGCAGGAGAAGAACAGCACTGTGTGAATGAGAAACTTCAAATTTGATTCAACAAACATTTATTCAAGGAGGGCATGCTCTGGGCAGTCCCTCAAAGGCTACAGTTATTCCACAACCAGGGCTCTAGCACGAGTCCCCTTGGGGCAGCTTCTCTGGCAGCCAGAACCCAAAAGCTTCCATTTAAGGTGAAAGGGGTGTGGTTACGTGTGTAGAAACTAGCTTCCCTCTTCTGAAGCCAGAGGCTAACTGGGCAGGAGTCCAAAGTTTCTATTACTACATGACACGTTCAACTGTCACCCAAAATAAGTTATGGAAACTACCAGAGTCTTAATGGCAATGAAGGGGATGGGTGAGGAAGAACAGCATATACCTGTTTTTTCTCATCGAAGAGGGTAATAAAGGAAATTTAAGACCACAGACTTTGGAGTCAGAACTGGGCTTGGATGAAGGTTGTGACGTGGTGAGTTATGTGAACTTTCTAGGTATGTTTCCTCAGATATAAGTGGAGATGACAGTTCCTACTCTATAGGACTATTGTGAAATCAAAGATAATGGATGAGAAAGCATTACACACTGCATCTGACAACAGTAATCAATAAATGTTAACTATTATCATGTTTAATATTTTGAGACAGACTGGGAAGAAGAAACTAATTTCCTTCTTAGTCATCCCAGATCCACCATTTACCATCAATGTAATCTTGGGCAAGTGACTTAACCACTCTATGTCTCAGTTTTCTCACCTTTAAAATGGGGGTAATGCCTTTTAGAGTAGTACAGATTAAGTGAGTTAACACATCTTATGCATTAAGGACAATGTATGGTACCTAAGAAGCTTCCAATTAATGTTAGCTTCAATTATTACTAGTCTCAGACCCTGAAATGATTCATCTCACAGACATAAAAGGAAGATGAGGGTTATGATGGAAATAGTAATGGAAAGAACAAAACTGTGTGGTCACAAGACCCAGTTTCTTATTTTGGGATTTCTACTGGAAGTTACTTTTCTCTAAGCTTCTGTTTCCTCATCTCTACAAAATATATTTTTCATACATAATAAACCATATCAATTTGTGGTTGCTGAAAGAACCAAAAATAAGAAGACAGATGTAAAACAAAGCATTAATAAATATATAGTATGGTAGAGAAAGAAAAGGCCGAAGGGCTCAGAAAATGGCAGGCTGTGCCTGATTTCAGAACTCCCTGGCAGAGAAAACATGTGTCCTATGTAACCCAAAACACTCAGAGGTCAGTGCTGCAGGAACTGAGTGGTAATAACCACACCTGACACTATTGAACACTGCCATTACCTCTTATTCATCTCAGGTCAGCCTATAAAGTCTAGCATGTGTCTGCCTCCACATATGGGCATTATTCTCACTCACGTGTTCAACCTGTTCAGTAACGTGTGACAAAATAACTACTAACTGCTAAATGCTGGGCTCTACTAAAAATAAAGAAATGAGTAAGCCCTAGCTCTTACCTTAAGAGAGAAAGGAGTGAAAACAAGGGAGAAGAAACATTTTGTCCTCTCCCTGCTTTCCTCCTACTTTCCTACAGATAATTAAAAAGAAAACTGTTTAAAGGTTTATTTATTTATGCATACGAGAACTGGGGTACAGGCCAGAGTTGGGGGGGGAGGGGTGAGAGGATTCACCAGAGACAGAGTGGGGAACAAAAGCAGACTGACTGAAACACACTGCTGAGGGGAGCAACGGGCAAGACAGCAGAGGTCTGCTGCGCCATATGTGGGTCAGCTCCCTGGACGGCCAGGGATCAAACTTGTGGCTGTGAATAGCTTCACGGTGCTATGACTTAACCCCTTGTACCACCAGGGAGGCCCCCTCAAAAATTTTTTTGAACTGAATTCTGTATTCTAAGCACTGGGGTGGAGGAACTGGGGACAGATGAATGAACAAGTAAAAGCTTCTGTCCTAAAGATATTTATCTATTTGGAAGTGGGACCACACAAAAGCAAAGAAATAAACAAAATTACTGATTAGTGCTGTGAACATTATTAAGCAAGGTGATCTGGGGGCTTGACTGGACCACTTTAGAATTAGTGGAGAGACGGTCTATAAAGGAGATGATATTTGAGATGAGACTTGAATGATAGAATCTTCTGTTTTCTCTTGCCCCAAAACTGCAATAATACCAATATTATGGGAAGGTGCCATTTTTAGTGGGAAGAGTGTAGGTCATGGGGCCAGAAGGTTTGGCTGCAAATCCTGACTTCTGCACCCAGTTACTGCATGAATTTAGTAAGTCATGATCCCTTAAAAGCTTTCTCTAAGAAAGCAGCACCTTGTTGGTTTCCATCACAGTCAGTTTTTCTTTCTACATCATTCTAATTTCAATGTGTCGCGTACTCTTCTATCTTGTCTGCCTCCTAGAATGTAAACTCCTAGAGAGCAGGGCCTTGTGCATCTTGAACACTCAGTAGTCCTGTGACTAGCTCAAGACTGGTATTCAATATGCACAGAATGAATGAATGAATGAAGAGCCATTTCTTCAGGGAGCTAAGTCTCATCTTCCTTTCCAGAAAGGGCAGAATTATCCTGAACCCCTCCCCCGCACCCCGGTCGTTATGAGGCTTAAATCAGACAATATTTGGAAGAGCTCAGCACAGGGCTTTTTGAGGAGCAGCAAAGTGTAATAAGAGAGCAAAAAGGCTTGCACAGCACAAGTCCCTCGGGCTTGCAACGGTGATAACCTCGCAGCCTACCAGCTGCAAAATCGCTTTTACATCTACCCTCCCAGCTGCACCGCAACGACCCGGGGCGCCAGGGGCCGTCATCTGGGGGCACCCAAGCCCGGACAAGCAAAGGCATTTGTGCCCACAAGCGAACGGTAACGGCCGGGCAGGCCCGGAACCCCGGCCTCCCGACTCCGGGCCGAGAATTCCCAGCCGCGAAGGGTCAAAACCCGGATTGTTATTTCCGGGCCAGCGGCCGGACAATCCGGGGCGGGGCCTGGGAGGCCGTCTCGCCGGGGCGGCCTGGGCCGCCGTGGCCCGCGGGGCCGCCCCGAGGGGCCGGGGCGCTTCGCGGCCGGACTCACCTCGTGACTCCGGCGTCGTCCCCTCGGCTCATGCCCCACGGCAGGCCCCGACTCCGCGGCCCCACGGCCTTCCTGACGCGTCCGCCTCAACGCCGCCGCAGCCAGGCCGCCGTGACGCACTACGCCCGCGCCGCCGCGCCACCCCGTGACGTCACGACGTCGCTCCGTCGCGGTCGCACGAATCTTTCCCCAGTACCCTGAGCGGTAGCGGGTGAGTGGTGTGGGGCCGGCCATCGGGCGCGCTGGGCCCGGGGTGCCGGAGAGCTCCACGCAGGGACGTCCGGGGCGCGCTTCTGGGGGCCTGATCGCCGTTCCCCGACGCGCCCCAGTCGAGTCCGGCTTGACCTTTCAGATGGGGCGGGGCCAGTCGCCCCGGAGCGTGTCTCGGGGTGGGGGCGGGGTCGGGGTCGTCCCCGCCACTGGGAACCTCGCGTGGGGGGGTTAGGGCTGCGAGCAATAAATAGTAGCCGCTGCTTTAGTGGCGCAGTACTTGGCAGGAACACTTAATTTTCAGAGCCATCCCACGGGCATGGGATTATTGAGCCACCATGATGAAGAAACGAAAGCTTGGAAGAATAATTGCTAGGGTCTCACGGCCAGCAGTGGACGGAGTTTCCATCCCCAAACCTTATTTTTCAATCTCTGTCTGTGCCGTCCAGTGGCAAAACAGTTGTCATTTCAATATCCTTTCTCTTTTACAAAGTGAATTCGCAGCCCTTATCTCATTCAGTCTTCCGGTAACCCTAACAAATAGTGTTGTCAGGTACATTTTGCAGGTGAGATTGAGGTGCAGAGTGTTTGACCCGAGGTCCCGTCTCTAAGCAGTGCTGGAGCCAGAACTCATTCCCAGGTCTTCTCGAAGTTTGGTGCCCTTTTTCCCTTTGACCTCATGTTTGCATTTCCCAGCATCCTGGAGAGCTTTGCAGTGGGAAAGAATGAAAATTTTGTTTGGCCCTTCATTTTATAGCTGGGGTGGGGAAAAAAACCCGGGTAGGAGAAATGATTTAAGTCACAAGTCAGTAGTAGAGCTGCCGCACATGCTTTTTCAGTAGGAAGTGGTTGTGAACCCAAAGGTGACTGACTGGGAGTGATGAGATAGGGATATTGTAACCCACACCTCCTAGCTCTTAGGCAAAAGCCCTTTCTCCACCTGTTAAAGTCTATCATCCTGGGAGGTCTTTGGCTGTGTCAGGAATATGGCTCTGTGTAAAGTCAGATGCCACAAATACTTTTTTTTTTTAAAGATTGATTTATTTACCCATACAAGAGCTGAGGTACAGGCCAGAGATGCGGGTGGTGGGGGGGTGGTGAGAGGATCCACCAGAGACAGAGTGGGGAGCAGAACAGGCAGGCTGACTAAAATACACTGCTGAGGGGAGCAGTGGACGAGGCAGGAGAGGCCATGTGGGTTTCTCCCTGGCCTGCCGCTTATCGAACTCTTGTGCTGCAGAGGCTGTGGATTGATTCATAGTGCGGTGCTTAACCCCTTGCGCCACTAGGGAGGCCCGCCACAAATACTTTTTATTGCACAAAATTTAGAGGACATGCTATTCCATCTCTAAATGAATATCTGGTGAACCAAGAGACAGTGGAAGTGGTGCTGGGAAGTAGAACCCAGGACCTACTATCTGAGCTTAGATTCCAAATCTGGAAGCAGGATGACCTTGAGCAAGCACTTAATTTTTCTGGACTTTCATTCACAGGTTCATCACATTTATTCAGCACCATTAGTATTATTGGATTGTGCTTAGGCACTGGGGATTTAGCAGTGATCCAGACAACCACAGATTAGTGCTCATTTTTTGGAGAGAATTAGGCAATAATAAAAATAGCCGCACAGATTACAAATATTAACTGGCATTGTTAAAATAAGTGCTCTGAAAAGGTATGGGCGGTTAGAAAAGTGGACTAGGACACTAGGCCAAGTTGGGCTGAAGGAGAAGGCCAAGGAAGGAAGGCATCCTTTGAAGATGTGATGCTTAAGCTGAAATCTGAAAGAAAAATTGGAGCTGCAGTAGTTTGTTAGAAAGGTGGGGGAAGAGCCAAGCAGATTCATTGGTATGACTGAAGACGCCAGAACTGGAGTATTTAAGGAAGTGATCAGTTTACTTTCGTAAAATATGGATGGTAGTCAGTAATACTTTGTTTATTATGAGAATCCGAATATATTTAAACACCTTTTTTTTTTTAACAAGTCAAGGGCCTGTTTTGTGCACCTCTACATTTGTAAAATTGTACATATTATGAGTCATCTATAGCTGCGTTGGGAGGGGTTGCTGGGACAGTGGATAAACTTTTTGTACCTCATCTATTCCTTTCCAAAATTAAAATGAATTTTCCTGTTCATTATAGAAGATATAACTTTGAGACCTTCAACTTTGGAAAAAGAATGTGTATTTCAAGTAGTTTTTGAAAACATTTCAACAGTTTAAATAACATATTATGTGTACCTACTAGACTCCAGGAATTGTATACTTTATGCACACAAAATAGTATAGTAGATAAGAGCACAGACTCTGGAACTAGACTGTCTGAAATAAAATTGTGAGCAAATAATTTACCTGTGCCTCTGTTCCCTATTCTGTTAAGTGCACATAGTAATAGTAATTATATATGGTCAGGAAGCTCAAATAAGTTGATGTTTGCAGTATAGTATGTAGAATCATTTCTAGTAACTTTATAATATCTTTTTAAAGACTCAGTATCATCATGATAAAAATGTGGTGGAAACTGTAGCTCAGAGAGGCTTAAATGACCTCTCCCAAGTCACACAGCTAGTAACTGGGGAGATTGTGAGTCCAGTTCAAGAATGCATACAGAAGCCCAGGTGTTTCCCTCAACATTGCTTCTGCATATAGGTTGGTTTTGTTGGATAACACTTGGGATCCCGTAAGGGTTTCTTCCCTCAACTTCTTCATTTGTGCTGGACTGAGTGTTAACGTACATGTCTTTATGGTAAAGGGCCCAAGGGACAGCCTTTATTGAACTTCCACTTTGAAATTTCCTGACTTCTGTGCAATAAAAATGTACGCTTTAAGCATTTCACCAATGTGGTTTATTTATAGAGTTGTCTTCCGGTTCACGTGTACTAGGTCTGCTTTTGGGTGCTGCGTTTTCTGTCAAAGGTTGTTTATTTCTAACCCTTTTTGATTTCCTGTTGCTTTGTGGATTGGTATTATGACCTGCAACAGGAACACCAGGAAACCTATCTTAAATGGAGTAGCCAGATTGAGATCCAGTAGATTAAAAAAAAAAAAAAAAAAAACAAACCAAAAAAACCACACATTATACAACCATATTTGGATATGTGTGGGTTAGGCACTGGCTATATTAGGCAAAAACCTAGATATAGAAACCTCTCTTAGAGCCAGATTTTTGTTAACAGTTTTTCTGAAACAGGGTGGGGCTATTTGCTCTACGCCCTTGGACAATGACAGCCTCTTTGAACCTCAGTTTCTACATCAGTAACATAGGGGTTATACTTTGTGCCATTATTGAGAAGAGTAAATGAAATAATATGGGGAAAGCAAGCCCAGAGCAGCCCAAGTCTGACCTTAAATAATAGTAGCTATTGATAATAAGAGGAAGAGGAAAAATACTTCCTCATTTTGAAAGTCCGGATATTTTTAACTGACTTCACATACCAATCACTGATATCTAGCATCCCTTGCTATTAAAAATTTCATCGGGAGAAATTATTTGCCTCCATACTTATTTGCTTTTTTTCCCTTTTAAACAATAAGGATAGGCACTATCTATTAAGCAGGTACGGTAATCCTGGCACTGTGCTAGGTGTTGTGCATGCATTCACAGTCTTATTTTATTCCAGGTTCAGGATTATTTTTTTCATTTTGCAGATGAGGAAAGCTGATACCCAGAAAGGTGAAATGAATTGCCCAAAGTTGAAACTTACATCAGACCTGATGACTCTATGATGCTTTGTATATTAGTAATGACACAAAATTTCTTTATTTTTCTCTCACCCTGGGTTGAAAGTCTTTGAAAGGAAAGACAAAAAAGGACAAAAAAAAAATGCCCCTTTTGGGGGGCTGCTGCTATCTGGTAGCCACTGTGCCAAGTATTTTGCCTTCAGACTGCATTTATTACTCCCAACCCTGAGAAATAAGTATAGTTATCCCCATTTTACTATTAGGGAAATCAAGGTGCAGAGATGCTCAGGAATATCAGAACTGGGTGTTTCCTCAACATGATTTCTGTCTTCCTGACATCAAAGCCCATGCTGTTATTCAGTCTGTTTTGCTGCATCAATATTTTCGGACGGGATTTCTTTTTTTTTTTTTTAGTGGGGTACGGGACTGATTTTTAAAGATAGTAGCTTTCAGATATTTGATGCTAATTGTTCTTGATTTTAACTGAGTGATAGCCAGATTCCTAGCAGAAGGTATTCAGTTACAAATGTCAGTTCACTAGCACTGTGTTCTAGCCCAGAGATAACTAGGCTCTAGCATCTTCCATGGTCAAAGACCTCAGAAGGATAATGTGTAACTTGTGTTAACAAGAGGAGGGTGGCATCTCCAGAGCTCTAGTTCTATAATATGGAAGAAAGACCTCAAAACCTAAACCATGCTTCAGACTTACATTAAAGTACATTCTAATTGGCAATCAGTGCATAAGGAACCAAAGAAAATTTTAATTAAATGCTGTCGTGTGAATTTTCCAGTCATTTTATGCCTGTTGAAATGGTTTTCTTATTTAGCTTAAAGTCTTCTTCCAGTGCTCTGTTCTCTTTATAGTACAGCTTTATCAAGATTTTATGCCTTTCCTCATGTAGGGGTTTAATTAGCATCTTTAAAAGTTTAGGCTGATACACATTCACTTAACTCTGTGTTCCCTGTGTGCTAAGAGACATTTGGTGCAGGGGAAAGAGCAAGGGATTTTGGAATTCTATAGACTGGACAAGTTAAATCTTTGAGTTTCAGTATTTTTGCCCTGTGAAACGGAGCTAACATATTTCCCTGTACAGCTGTTGGGAGGAGGGTTGGAGATAATATGTTTAAATGGCCGAGCAGATAGTTCGGTTTGTAGGAGTCACTTGACAAACGACACATACTATTTTCTCAAGTTGCTGTCGTCGTCCCTTTTACTTAGATTTCCTTTTTGTCTCACTCTTTGTAGTGGATTTTCTCGAGGATTGTCTTCAGTCATGGCCTTGGGTTTAAGGTGCTTCCGCTTGGTCCACCCTGCCATTTGCAATTCCCTTGCGAGCTTCACCAGACCTGTGTCAGAAGTTCCACGGAAGGCAGTGACTGGAAGACAAAATGACTATTGGCAGTACTTGGCCTCTCCAGCTATACCGAGCCGTCACTTTGCCACCAAGAAAGCCAAAGGTAGAGACCCAAACCCACCTCCTCACACCTCCTCACCACTTCTTACATTTAGTCCTTGAGTTATCCCAGCTTGAAGAGATCTTAGCGATGTACTGGAGTTCTCCCTTTGCCCACAGTTGGAAATGGTGTCTCAGACAGGTCACTTGGTTAGCATCGAGGATTATGGTGGCAGGGATGGGATTAGAACCTGGGGTCTGTTTTCTTCTTATCAGGCTGCCTTGTCTGTTTTCTGAGTGGCTCAGAAAATGCCTCATTTCTCTCTTTTAAATTCCAAATGAGAGGTATAAGTGCCAAGCAAACCAGAATGCTTGTGGCAGGGCTTAGCATATTTTCTCCTTATAGGAAGATCTATGTTGGAAGTAAAATTAAAACCAGAAGGTTGCTGGGCAAGGAGGTATTGGAACCAGGGATTTAGATGGATGATCTTAATGGTTTGTGTCATTCAGGAATGAGACTTTGATATACCGCCGGGCTCAGCTTAAATGTCTCTTCCTCAGGGAAGCCTTTCCCTGGCCTCTTAGACCCCGTCAGGTCCCTGGTTACATTAACTTGTGCACACTGTTGCTTTACCTTTGGCATATATATTGCAGCACCAATTAATTAGTTAATTATAGGATTGATTATTGTTTGTCACACATCTTTCTATTAGGATAGGGTCTGTATCTTTCTTATTTACGACCTAACAGGGCCTGACACATACTATATATCAAAAATTTTGTTGAATGAAGGAATGAGTGACAAAAAATAGTCAAGCAGACCAGCTGATGCTGGAAATAGGTTGCTGAATATTTTTCCACTGACTTTCCTTTACTGATTTCATGCAAACCTTCCCTTTTCTGTCAAAAGGGAAATTAACAAGTTACTGAAAGAGCATGAATGCCTTGAAGACTTTTATTCTGTTAATAGTGATAACTGTCAGGTCTCTTTACAAGTATGGCTTGAGCTTTTTATTTTGTCGAAATACTTTCTCCACCTTACACTAAATTCCTCACTACCCAAGTCCCTGTCATAGAGTCTTGAAACTGTGTGGCACAAATCTCCCCTCTTGCTACGCACACACTTTTCTTTTTCCTCTTGGACTTTCATTTTTCTACATGAAATTTATAATCATATGGTGTGAGGTTTTCTCCACAAAGATCTTTCTCAGTTCTTTATTCAAGTTTTATTTTGGGGGTATCATTTTTGTGACTTTCATAAAGCAATTTTTCTGAGTTATAACACATCTACAGAAAAACCCATGTGTAAGTTTACGTGTACGGCTTTGAATTTTTGTAAAGTGAACACAAGAGAGAATCATCTTTCAGAGCAATTGATAGGACATTGTTGGAACTCGTGGCGCTTCCTCGTGTCTCTTGTCACCCTTCCAAAGGTAACCCGCTGTGTTAATTTCAATGCCATAGATTAGTTGTGCCCTTTGTGAACTCAGACAGATTCTTTTATGCTTGGCTTCTGTTGGTAACAATCTCTTTGTGAGATTTGTCCATGTGGTTGCATGCAGTAGTTATGCAGTTTTATTTCTTTTTGATATTCTGCTGAATATGTATATATATACACCACCATTTATGTATTCTTACTACAGTTGATGGACATTTGGGTTGCTTTCAGTTTTGAGCTTAAACAAGTAATGCTGCTGTGAACATTCTGGCACATGTCTTTAGGTACACATGTACATGTGTGTGCCATTGGTGCACATACGTTTGCCTTTCTGTTGGCTAAATACCAAGAGGTGGGATTACTGAGTCTCCAGCTATGCATGCGCTCCTACCAAAAGCATTGTAGCTCTTTGTACTACATATTTGCCAACACTGGTATATGCTTAATATAATTCTAGTCATATCTCATCGTAGTTTTAATTTGAATTTCCTTGATGAATAATGATGGTGAGCCCCATTTCATTAATTATTTATTTAAATATCCTCTTTCCAGTCTTTTGCCCATTTGTAGGAGTTTTAATATATTTTAAATACAATCCTTTTGTCATACAGTTGTGTTGCTAATAAGAGTAATGTTTTACTCTTTTAATGGTATTGTTGGATGAACAGTTCTCAATTTTCATATAGTCTAATTCATCATTTTCTTTATGGATTGTGCTTTTTTCCCTTTACTTAAGAAATTTTTCCCCCACGTTAAAGGCATCTATATGTTCTATATTACTTTATGGAAGATTTGTTATTTTAAGCTTATCTCTTTTTTAAAAATTGTGTTCTGTTTGGTAGCTTTTTAAATTTTTTAATAGAAATAACTAGACTTTTGGTGGTGGTCATAATATAGTGTATATAGATTTGAATTATACACTGGAAACTTACATCATGAATTAACCAATATTACCTCTATAAAATATATTTTCAAAAAAAGCCTATAGAGAAGCTTTTTTTTTTTATATAAGAAAAAATCTGGATAGTTTTTACACACTGATAACGCTTTTGTAATCAGTCATTACCAGATCAAAAAAAACAGAACATTTCCAGCATGTCACAAGTTCCCTTTGTGTCCCCTTCCAGTAACTACAGCCTTTCATCCCTTGCAGGTAACTATTTTTCTGATTTCTAGTGGCATGGATTAGGTTATTTTTTTAAAATTAAATTTTAATTGTGGTAATATTTGGATACCCCTATCAGGTATTACCACCATAGCACACCCACCACCAAATCACCCACGGTACATGTGTATCCTTCCCTCTTTGCCCTCCCCACTCCCCCATCCCTGTCCCCCTTGGATGCTTCAGTTCTCTAGTCAGCTTTCAAGGTTAGTTTTTAACCTTCTCTTTATCTAACCCTTAGTTTGGTTTCCCTATATTCCACACATCAGTGACACCATCAGTATTAATCTTTTTCTTTCTGACATATTTCACTTAACATTATCCTTTCCAGCTCCATCCATGTTGCCACAAATGACACAAGCTTCTTTTTTGATCACTGAGTAGTATTCCATTGTGTGTCTATACCACAGCTTCTTGATTCACTCACCTATTTGGGGGCACTTAGGTTGTTATACTTTGGCTATAGTAAATAGCACTGTAGTAAACATGGGAGTGCAGGTTTCCTTTAAAATCAGTGTTTCTGAAATTTTTAGGTAGATGACTAGGAGTGAAATTACTGGGTCTTGTGGCAGATCCATTTTTAATGTTTTAAGACACCTCCATATTACTTTCCATAGGGGCTCAGCCAGTTTGCATTCATACCCAGTTGGCATTCTTACCAGCAGTGTAGAAGGGTTCTCTTTTCTCCATATCCTCACCAGCACTAGTTTCTAGTCTTTTCGATATGGGTCATTCTCACAGGTGTGAGATGGTACCTCATTGTGGTCTGGGTTTGCATTTCAATAATGATTTGTGATGAACATTTTTTCATATGCCTGTTTGCAGTCTGTATATCTTCTTTGGAGAAGTGTCTGTTTAGTTCTTCTGCCCATATTTTGATTGGGTTATTTTTCTTTTTGTTATGTTGTAAGAGTTTTTTGTAGAGGTTTAATATCAACCCCTTGATGTGTGTTCTGCCAACATGTTCTCCCATTCGGTAGAGTGTCTTTTCATATTAGTTATGGTTTCTTTTGTGTGCAAAAGATTTTTTAGTTTGTTGTAGTCCCAGTTGTTTATGTTCTTTTTTGTTTTCCTTGATGTTGGGGATGAATTCCTAAAGGCATCTTTTGTCGTGAGTGTTTTAGCATGGATTAGTTTTGTTGGTTCACTGTATATTCTCCTGTTGGCCTTTTGTACTGTAGAGTCTGTATTTTGTCTAACATCTCAGCTTTACATTATGTTTGGGAGATTCATTTAAATTCTGAGTAGTAGATCATTCTTTTTCATGGCTATATACTATTTCCTTATAAATACCACTGTATTCCCTAATATTGACGGGCATAATTAAGATTTTTAACATGTACACTGATTTAATATTGACACTGACTTCTCCAGCCAAAGCGAAAGGACAGTCCCAAACCAGAGTGAGTCTTAATGCTGCCTTGGTTGAAGATATAATCAGCTTGCAAGAGGTGGATGAAGAAATGAAGTCTGTGATGGAAGGACTCAAGGATAATTTCAATAAGACTATCAATATAAGGACCTCACCAGGTTAGTGGCCGAGCCAGTGTTTTGGAGGGGGCATGGGAGAAAGCATGGCTTTGGCAGAGTGGGATTTTCGTCCCACTTTGTCACTTTCTAAGTGGTGACATAAGCCGTCATTTTTCTTTTCTGGTCTTCTTTTCCTTGTCTAACGCCTTCCTTCTAGCTTTGGGATGGTGTTAATATAAACGAGGTAGAATATGTAGCAGTTTCAGCACAATGCCTGGCACACTATGAACACTACATTTATTTACCCATTCAGCAGATATTTGTCTGTCCTAACGAGGCATGCGCTAGTCCATGGAGGTGAGCAAAAATATGCATGGTCTTTACTCTCATGGGATTACACTGGTAGATATTTAGCCTCACTCACAGTAACTGACATCTTTGGTCTGGTTTTTCCAATATGTCCTACTTGACCATTCTTATTCCTTATTGGGAACCACCTGCCCACCTGAAGTTTGACCAGGAAGATTCCATTTGGGTTAATAACTTCCTGAAAGTGGCTTTTCTAAGTGGGAAATGTCAGAACTGTCTAGGAGAACTGTTTGCAGATGTGATGGAAGAAGTGAGTGGTCAGCTAATGGTGCAGGCAAGCAGGAAAAATCCAATTGCTTTTAAATTGGCCTTTTGAAAATTGTCATTCTCGAGTCACGCCGGGACCCCCTCTGAAGATATCTTTGGGAGCTTGGGCTCCTCCTACTCACATCTTGGATGGGGTAGCTAGTAAGGAAACTAAAAAATGTTTTATGAACTTGTTCTTAAGAAAACCAGGTGAAAAATACACGGTTCTATTTATAAACACCAGCAGAAACATACTGAGTTCAGACAAGATCCAGCGAGAAACCAGAAGACATTCCATCATGTGTCAACCTTTGGCTGGGGCATTTCTGCCTTTGCTGACAGTAGAGCATGCCATTCAGTCTCTCCCAACTGTTTGTTTTAAACTTGCTTATTATTTTAGGTATGAAACTGATAAAGTGCTTTGTCTCCCTTGTGCTTTCTGGCCTGTTAACATTCTGCAGCCGAAACCAGAGAGCAGTTTGAGAGGAGCTCAGGGAGAAATGTGATACTTAAAATTAGCCAGCAAGCTCCACTCTTGTGGAACTTAAAAAGATGATGGGCCTGGAAAGAGGTTGGGAGTGTAATTTGTTAAATGTTAACCTCTGAGAAAATGAGGGGCAGGAATGAGGCTGAGAGAGATTCTCGCTGGGGACAGACTGAGGGGAAAGGATTTGATGCATTATGTCAATATGGATTTAGGGGACAGAGCACCGCGTTTCATACTGCAAAGCGCACGCTGGGACTTCTGTAGCAAGGGGACTTCGGGCAAGTCAGGAAAGCTGAATTAAGATCCATTTTCAAAAGGCCCCCCATTGGTATTTCCTCTTTAGGGTTATGTTTGTGTAACATCCTATGTAGAACTTGGGCTGTGAAGTGACTGGGTGAAGCAGGCTGAAATTTAGCCAGTCTTTTTTTATGCCAGATTCTTCCATCTCGTCTTTCATTACTATCTGAACCAGCAGGTACTTTTCCTTTTACACCTCCATCTGTCTACCAGCAATTTTTGCCTCGAAGATAGCTGATTGCTTTTAATAGTTGTCTAAGATACATGTTTATGCCATCTGTTCTCTCCCATTCACCTATACGTTCATTTGTTCATCAAAGCATTATTATTAATAATTATTATTATATATTATTATCAAAGCATTATTTTTATTGCTCATCAAAGCATTATTATTCATCAGCACTTATTCTGTGCTGATTAATAAGTGCTGTAGATACACAGGGAAAAGCTGTTGTCCACACCTTCCAAGAATTAGGCTTCCTATAGCCTAACATGAGGGGGTAGACAAGTAAGCCAGCGTGTGTAAAACCAGCCAGCAAAGCAGGGTAGTGAAGACCAGGGCTTTGGAGTTGAGCAGACTTGGGTTTCAATTCAGGCTTCCCTACTAAGAGCTGTTATGACCTGGGGCAAGTTACTCTGCTTCAGTTTCCTCATCTGTAAAATGGTGGAAGTAATAAATCTCTCATAAGGTTATTGTGATAATGAAAACAAATGGATTACAGAAAGCACTTAGCACAATGTCTTGCTTATAGGAAGTGTTTAGTGAATATTGGTTATAGTTGTCATTATCATAGCAATGTACAGAAAGATGTCTGGATGCTCATCAAGGGTTTATTACCCAGTCTAGGAAGTCAGACAAGATTTCTAGACTAGATGCTGTTACAGCTGAGTAACAAGAATAAACAGGAGTTATCTGAGCAGAGAAGGGCATTCTCAGTAGAAGGAAAAATATATGATAATGTTCTTAGACAGGAGAGAACAAACTGTATTAGCGAAGTTATAAGTAGGTTAGTTTGGTTAAAACGGAGAAAGTCAAGAAGTAATACTCATAGTTAGCAATTTTTGACACATGCAAATGTCAGGACACAGCTCCATGTGCTTTCCATAAAATCTTTCATTTAATCCTTGTAAACAATGCTATAAGTATGGTTTTTTTATGCTTCATTTAAAGATCAGGAAACAGACACCCAGAAAGTTGAAGGAATCTCCCAAGGGTCACACAATTACAAAGGGACAGAGTTAGTATTTAAACCCCTGTCACTGGTCTTCAGTTTCATGGAGACTTTTACCACTATACATGCTGGACTTTTCTAGATTGACGCCTCTGTTGTCAACGACTTTCTCTCGCAATGGCATTGAATCTGGTTGAGTACTACACGTCAGATCCTTGGGCCGTAGTATGTGCTGCATTATTTTAACAAGAGCTTGCTGGGACAACTCCCCATTTGTTTTAAACACTCTCTTTCCCCTCTTGCTCTTTGTATCTCAGAATGAGCCACCACGAGTGGGTTTTTTTTAATGTTTATTTTTATCTTTTTTTTTAATGTTTATTGTTGAGTGCCTATTGTATACTTGCTTTTTTCTTTAGTTGTAATCCTCCCTTTTATCCTTTAAGGCAGTTACTTTTTGACTGAGTTGGAGCCAGGGCACAGAGATGATAAGTAACTTGCCCCAGGTCTCATACTTAGTCGATGGCAAGGTTGTAAGAGGGCAAAGCAGCTCTTTCCAGTTTAGCAACAATAGTCCTGTGTCACAGGAGCCCCCTCGGCCCAGGATGGTTGGCCATCTTCACTCCTGGTTGAAGAATTCCAGCCTGGTTCTGTCAACATCTCAAAGCTCTTTCCATCACATGCTGCTCCTCTGAAAGCCCCTTGACTGGCCTTGGGGACAGGGGAGGGATCCCTAAAGGTCAGTTGAACCTGAATTAGATAGGGACTCAGTGCCAGCTACAAAGGGCCTTCTGAATTCTCGGACCTACAATTTTTCTTTCAGGATCCCTCGATCAGATCTCTGTGGTAACTGCTAATGGGAAACTTGCTTTAAACCAGATAGGCCAGATCTCCATGAAGTCCCCACAGCTGATTCTGGTGAATATGGCCAGCTTTCCAGAGGTAAGGTGACCTTGCTGGGCGGGTCCTGCTCCATGGTGTCTTTTGGAATGGAGGAAGCCAGGTCAAGTCAGGAGGAAGTGTTTCCTCCAACTTGGGATCAAACAGGAGAGAAGGCGTTATGAGTGGAACTTAAGAATAAGGAAAAGCTCTCTTCCTCTTTCTGAATTCCTTTTCTGTTAAACTCGAACTCTACAGAGGCCAGACAAGTATTCTGAATACTGAAATATAGGACCCATCTATGAAAAACAGTAGTGGTGATGCAGTAATTGGCACTTAACCAATAAGCCAGGCAGAAATTTCTGTAGGCCTGGTAATCAGTGTTAACAGAGTTAAGATTTCCATTTCCAGAAGAAACTGGTCACCTAAGTTTTCATGTAAGCTCTTTGTTAAATGTTGATAATTAATTCATTTTTCTTTTAAGACTGTGAGATAAAGAAGACACATTAATGAGCCAGATTGGGCCCCCAGGCTGCCTGCCTGACCCCTGCCTTAGTATTTGGAGTAGACTCTGCAGGAATTCACATTCCTTTCCAAGTAGACCAGCCACTGCAGAGCGTTGCACAGAGCTTGTTGCTTCCAAGGCGGGCAGGTGGTTGCCTCAGGTACTCGCAACCTTGAGGCTCTGATTTTGAGTCTAGCTGGGGAAGATTAATGGGTTTTTCCCTGTCAGTCCAGTCAGAACGGACCTTGGGTTTGGCATCCTAGTGAAGCTGGCATCTGGCCTCTCTCTGCTGCTGTCTAGCTGTTTGACTCTGTGTAAGTTACTTCTCTGAGTCTCCATTTCCCCATAGGGCAATATGAGGTGAAGGAATCCGAAACCCCTTCCTGTTCCTATTGTGTGTCCCAAAGACAGGCCAGAGCTGTGCTGCTGCATTTGACCAGCTGGGCTAGAGGAGTGAGCAGGGGAAAGCCCTGTGATGAGCATGCGATTTCACGCAGAGGCCCTCACAGCGACACGCTCGGCACGCTGGTTGGGGCCTATTACTCTCCGCTCTCCAGTTCCTTTCTCCATACCGCAGCCAAAATGAACTTTTAAAATACATATTGGATCATGTCATTTTCATGTTTAAATTTATCAATGGCTTCAAATAATCATCAAGAAGAGCACTGTGGTCTAGAAGGCTTTGCACAACATGGCCCCGCCCTCTGTCTCTAAGCTCCAGTTTTGTGCCCCTGTCATCCTTGTACTCTCTTTATCATACTGGCCCTTTACTCCCTCCAACACACCAAGCCTTCTGCACCCCCAGGGCCTTTGCATATGTTGTTCCTTTGACTTGGAACTTGCTTATCGGGTTAATTGCCACTCATATTTTGGATAACAACTTAAATGTCACTTTCTCAGGGAAACCTCTGATCTATCCTATCTATGTTATTGCTGCACACTAACCTCTCTTACTACACACAGTTCTTTACAGGTTTATTTTCCATCTCACTTTCACTAGATTTAAGCCTGGACTGTAGGAATCCAACTTGTTCCTTGTATCTAGTGGCTAATACACTGCCTGGCATGTGCAAGCACTCAGTGGGTTTCCCTCAAGTGGATGGACACTTGTCACCAGGTTGACGGAAGGGAGGTGCTCACTCTGGTGTTACTAAGGAGCAGAGAAACAGATGAAAGGGGAACTATCAACTCTTTCTGTTCCTTTTTGGACCTCTGAGGTCTCTCTGCCTTGTTCATCTAATCCCATAGACACTGCGGGCCAATTTAGGGAATAGCCTCCTAATTACACAGCTTGAAGACCTCATCAGCCAGATTGCTTTTCAGAGCCAGCCACTTCTGTTATTAAATAGCAAATGGCATTCACAGAAGAAGTCTCTGATTGGCCACCAGAGCATCTTATGAGGCAGGAGGAGGTATTAACAGCTTAATTTTTTTCTTAGGAAGTTGGAGTGTATCTTCATTTTTCAACCAAAGCATCTTTGCTGTTCTCCAAGTTCAAATTCTGCAGCTTTGGGGGGAAAAAAACTTTACAAGTATCTCAGTGGAGAGGTTTTTTGCAAGGACAGAGTGAGGAAATGTGAGTTACATTGTCTTTTGAATTCCTTTATCTCATCTGGTGTATATATTAAACAAATAGCTCTAACTAAACATTTCCTTCCTCTGGTTTAGAAGCTGTCCGTAGAGCACCCAGGTTCATAGCTTCAAAATGCTGAGCTAATCCTCTTTGTGTTTATGTAATTCCTTTCTGTTTCACATGCAGTTGGCTTTCATTCTAAGTCTGAGCATTTCTGTGTCATGCTGTAGTGACACAATGCAGATTTACATGCATAATCTGTTCAAATGCACTGAAGACAGAAAACTGTTGCATTTGTTTAACATGTGTCCTGCTTGATAAATAGTACACACAGTTGCTGCCTTCCATAAGCTGGCCTGCAGCTAGAGTTAATGATGGGAAAGAAAAGAAGGGAGTAAAAACCACAGCATGATTTGAACAAGGCAAATGAAAACAAAATCTGCAGGTTCCATCATTGCTCTGGTGAAAGGAGGCAGGCTGATGTGTGTTGAGTATCTGTCATGTTACCTGGAGCATCCTCACGTTTTGTTTCATAGGATTAACAGAGGTATGCTCAAAAATAGGAGTTATTTATTCCATTTCATAGATGAGGAAGCTGTGGCTCAGAGAAGTAAAATAATGACCCCCCAAGTTCAGACTGTCATGATTGAGTCAAGATTTGAACATAGGTCTGATATTGAAGTCTGTGCTCCTTTCACCATTCATTCATTCATTCAGCAAACATTTTTTGAGTCCCTGCAAGTTCTTAGGGACTTTGAGGTGCTGGAGATTCCTTGATGAGTCAAATAAATAAGGTCTCTGCTTTCATAGCTCTTCCATTCTAGAGATTCACTGGGATATAAAGAAAATGGAAGACCAGTCGTCAAACTGGCAGTGACAGTTACTTGAGCCCAAACTCTCAAGGATTTGTTCACCTGTCTATGAAGGTTTTGTCATGTTTTGTCCTGTAGCAGAGATTAGTTTCAAAATAGCAGTAGCCGCCATGCTGATTGACCACATCATTCTTTCCTGGCTGGTTCTGGATAGTGTCTGTGGACTTTGTCAACACTGTATCCCCCGCAGCCTCAACTGGTTGGTCAGCATTACTGTTTTGCCCTGGTACTGGCAAATATCCCTTCTTTTTTTTTTTTTTTTTTTTTTTGAAAAAGATTGATTTATTTATACAAGAACCGGGGTACAGGCCAGATGCATGGGAGGGTGAGAGGGTTCACCAGAGACGGAGCGGGGAATAGAACAGGCAGACTGATGAAATACACTGCTGAGGGGAGCAGCGGGCACAGCAGGAGAGGTCTGCCACGCCATGTGGGACCCTTGCCCGCCAGCAGGGATTGAACCGGCACTGCAATGGCTGCGGACAGCTGCACAGCGCTGCGCTCAACCTCCTGCGCCACCAGGGGAGCCCACAAACATCCCTTCTATGAGGGGATAAGAGATGGACATGCTTTTTGTCTAAACCATTAGCAGTTTAAAAGTCATGTTGGGAGAATGACTAATTCCCTGCATTTCTGCATTCTGCCATATCAAAGTAAAATATACATATTCAAATATTTTAGAAATGCACCTCTTTTAGTAGGTTTCTTTGCAAAATGAAATCTCTTCTTGATTCCCTTATTTTTTGCATATGAAAGGATACAGGAAAAGAAAACTATGAAATAAGGTTTTAGGCAATTATATCCATGAAATTGAGCAAGGGAGATACATTTTCTAACAGATAGGAGCCATTTCATTATATGCTCATTCAGCAAGCTTTCACTGAGCGCTTACCTTGTGCCTGGTGCTGGGCCTTGAACTGGAAGATGTAAATATTGAGACATAATTCCTGCCCAGCTCGGTATCAGCAGTTGGTGCTTCTGTGCCTGCAGAGGAAGATTGTGTGAAAACACTAAGCCAGATTGTGAGCGGGAGGTAGTGGTGGTGGTGGTGGGATGTTTTAGCAATGAGTTATCAGTTATTTAATGAGAAACTTCAGAAGAAAAGGATTGAGATCAAGTCACCCCTTTATTTAAAACTTTAGCAGTCTTTGCTTCATTTATTAGGAAAATAGCAGTTCTCTTGCAGAGAGGGAAAAAAAATGTTTTTCTTTACCTCTTTTATTGACCTTGACCCTGCCCTTTATACACTAGATCTAATTCCAAATTATTTTTGACTGTTAAAAAAAAATCAAACCTCCTCCTCTTACCCTCCCCCAGTAAGTGAGTCTATTATCTGGGGAATCTGAAAGAAAATACAGACAAAGTAATATTCCTGCGCTGAATGTTGAGGAGCCTAGAGTCTAGTCTTAACTCTCTCAGTCACTGGAGATAAGGGCCTCACTCTGCTGCCTGTGTTTTGGAGGTAACCCCATCCCATGGGTCCTGGGTCCATTATGAAGCTGTGTTCTTGGTTATGTCAAAGGTCCCCTCCAGCTCTAGTAGTCTGTGGTCAGAGGTACTGTTTTAAGAATTTGCTATTTTAAGCAGTAGCCACAGCAGCAGGTTCTATTGCCAGCCTCTTAAGGGCACGATTCACCTGCATGTAAACATTCTGGCTTCTCTCTTTAACCTTGTAGTAACACCTCATGTACCTACCTGTACAATTAAGGCCATTTAAAAATAAGATGGATAGCTTTGGGCACTCTAACAAAGAATAAAACAAAACCTATAAAACTAAAATAGGTGTACAGCAGACCCCAGTTTATTTAAACCAGAAAGTCTGGAGAGGAACGCAAGGCCAAGAACTGTGGTGCAGACTGGGTCTGGTGAAACCTAAAATTCTTCTGAAAATGTCTCCCAAGCTCCACGTTGTCATCTCTCTCTTGCACAGGGCTCACCTTTATTTTTCAGGGTTGCTACCAGGTGTGGCTGTGATGTTGCTTGAGGTGAGGTGAGGCACTTTGGGAAATCAATGCACTAATGTCCCAGCTGGCACATTAGAGAGAAAGATTAAGTCAGAGAAGGCCCTGGAGGACGTCAGGTGGCACAGCCGGGCCTCAGCTTAGTGGCCCCAGCTTGTCTGGACATTTTCGTGTGTTCTTGTTTATGTAATAAATTCATATAGTTGTATATGATAACTCCCCTTGTCCCAGGTATTATTGTTTTCCCGCCACAGAGCAAGATATCTCACTGTCTCTGAGGTGTAGATACTGCATAGTTTCAGATTATGAGGCTCAGGGCGGTCAAGCTTATTTCCGGGGGTCACGTGGTTAGCAGAGCCGGCATTTGAACTGAGATCTTCCTGACTCCAGAGCCCATGCTTTTGACCAGCATGCCATACTCCTTCCCTGGAGTGTAGCCAGCGGAGATTCATTGCTCCTTCCAAAAGGTTGGTGAGTGTAGATGCGAATGAGTTAAATTTATTTACTCATTCCAAATCGGCACTGGTATATTTTGAGTGTAAAATGTCAACTGGAATTTTTAATGTATAAAATCTTTCATCTTTCTTTACACCAATCTATGCACAGACCAGCCCCCCTCCCTTGAGGATTTATTGTGGTTTTGATCTGTGTTGCCTCAAACCATTGAAATCTTTTCAAAGACGCAGAGCTGTTTTCTTTTTATTTTTTCTCTCTGCTTTTTTTTTTTCCTCCCGCAGTACACTGGTACCAGGAGTGGACATAGTTTGCTATTCAGCTTGATCAAAGCACTCTACACCAATGTAACTTCCTGATCTTACTGGTAACAGAACTAAATGTTTCCATGTTCTGCCAAGATGGGTTGCCAGTTATCGACAGAGGGCTTGCATCTGGTAATAATTATTTACTAATTCTGTTTACCTTTTGATCTGGTTTTCAGTGTACAGCTGCAGCTATCAAGGCTATAAGAGAAAGTGGAATGAATCTGAACCCAGAAGTGGAAGGGACACTCATTCGGGTCCCCATTCCCAAGTAAGTTGGCCTACAGTGTCCCTATTTTGATGCACTGGGCCAGTTGTCCTTGGAAGGAAGCCCAGCCCTATATGATACAGTTCGGTCGGTAGTGCATTTTGCTTGTACTTCCCATCCTGGCAAACTCTGACATCTTTTGAGATCAGTTGGCTGAATCAGAAATATTGCTGAGCGCCTACTGTATACTTGGGAGATGTAGCAATAAACCTGGCAAAGCCCTGTTCTTCTGTAGTGTACATTCTAGTCAAGAAGAGAAGACGTAAGTCAGATTCGTCATTCCAGATAATGACATGCCAGGAGGAAAGAAAGGGCAGTGGTATTCCGTAGCGAGTGACTTGATGAGGGTAATGGTGGTAGAGACAACTTTAGCCTGGGAGGATTCTCTTGGGAGGTAACATTTTGGCTGAGAGCCGAATGCCACGGCAGAGTCGGGTTAGGGCAAGAGCTTTCCAAGCACGGTGAACAGCAAGTACAGAGGTCCCGAGTCAGAGATTTAGTTAATCTGTAACCTGTGTTCCTTGGAGAGCTATTTTTACATTAGTCCTTCCTTCTTGAAAAATTTTAGGCATAAGAACAGAATTTGTTAATTATATAAATATATAGAACATGGAGTTTTAAATGAATAAACATGTACATTCATTTTTAAATTAAAAAAAGGAAAGAAATGGCAAGATCTGGGCATGTTGAGAAAGAGAATTTGGCAGCACATCTGAAACTCAGGGAGGGGACAGAGTGGGAGGGGAGGGGCTGGACAAGTGGTTGGAGGGTGGAGAGCGAGGCCTCACGCACTGCGAGCTGAGGAGTCTGGGCTTCTTTCTAAATGTAATGGGGAACCATTGGAGGGATTTAAGCAGGGGAGTTACCTGACTTTTCAGGGGTCTCTGTGGCTGCTGATTAACAAATGGAATGTAGAGGAACAGAGTAGGTACAAGGAGAATATTGGGGAGGCAACTGCCTTAGACCAAGTAAGTCCAGGTAAATCTTATCCGCTTCCATGGCAGGCAGAATTAATTTCTCCTTCAGTAATCTCATTTCTTAATTATCTTTTATTCCTTATTCCTACATAGTGTTTCGTATGTAACAAATTCCAAATAAATGTTGAATTAATTCATCCACTTGCCTAATATTTGTTAAGCTGACTACATGCCATGCACTTTCCTAGTTGTAAACAAAACAAACAACATTGAAACCCTCCTCCCAGGGCTTACCTTATTGTTGGTAGTCATAGTAAGCAGGAAAACAAATATATACTGTAATGTTAAATGTTGGTAAAGACTGTGAAGAAAAATAACCAGGCTAAGGGACTGGAGAGAGTTGGCGGCTCTTTCTACATAGGGAGGTTCAGGAAGCAAGTGACATTTGAGCAGAGACCCAGATGAAATGAATGAAGCTTCCACGGAACTAGAAGGGAAAGGCAGTCACACTAGTTGAGTCTTTTTGTGCTGTCTGTCATCCTGTATGCCTGTACGTAGATCACCTCAATTGTCTGAAATGGAGTTTTTTTAGGTGTGGAAATTTAGGCTCAGAGAGGTAATCTCTGAGGTTCCCTGGTTTATGCTCAAATTGGTACCTCAATCCAGTTTTTTTTTTAAAGATTTATTTATGCATACAAGAACTGGGGTACAGGCGAGAGGTGTGGGGGGTGAGAGGATTCACCAGAGACAGAGTGGGGAACAGAACGGGTGGATTGGCTGAAGTACACTCCTGAGGGGAGCAGCAGGCTAGTCAAGAGAGGGCTGCTGCACCATGTGGGTTGCTCCCTGGCCTGTCGGGGATGGAACTTGTGCTGCAGTAGTTGCAGATAGCTTCATAGGTTGCATCTTAACCCCTTGCGCCACCAGGGAGGCCCCTCCATCCAGCTTGAATTAATTCCAAAGCCTCATTTAGTCACCCCTGTTACCAACAAGAATCAATACCAACTCTGAGAGTCCAGGAACTCCCCTGCCCCCCAAATTTTTTTCCTGCCTGATGACAGATAATCGCTGTTTCATTCCATTGTGTACTCTGTAAGTCAGAAGTAACACTGCTTTGGAGTCCTGTGGATTGGTAGTAATACAACCTAGTATTGAAGAACCAGATAGAACCTATGCAAGTCTGGGGCCTGCTTGACTGTTAGGTCATTGATTCACTCAACACACGTTCTGCAAGTGTGTCCTGTGGCAGGATGCACAAACTTCATGTTGGTCTTGTTGGAGCTCACTGGCTGTGTTCCAGGCCCCTGGCTTATGTTACCCGTTTCTCCCTTGTCCACGGACGAAAACTTTTAAATCCAGAGAAATTAGGGGACTTGCCCATCATCACATGGCCAGTAAGTGGCAGTCAGGATTTGAATGCTGAATTTTTCTGTTTCCTGCGTACAGGCTTTTTCTTCAATACTTTTTTAAAGATAAAAGGGTTATTTTTATCTTTATAAAGGGGTTATTTCTCGAAAATGCTCAACATACTCATGGACAGTAGAAGCAGGATTTGCCAGTGAAACGGTTAGTACTCAGCATTTTTATTGTTTAATTCTTACTCTCGTGTCTGTCTGAGATCTTGAAAAGCTACCCAGGCCTCTGAGGCCCACTGTCCTCATACGCCATTGAAGGGGTCGTTTTCAGTGGCCTGCCAGTCCTTGCTTGAGCTCCAGACTCCTGCAAGGCTGAGAATTTTTGCAGCTAAATGCTCGTCATTGACTTGGATTCTTCTTAGAGTGACCCGATTGTTTGTTATCTTTTTCTTTCAAAGATCTTTTGGGCTGTTGGAAAAAGTCATGACATATTTTTTCTATATTTTCTATGCAAAAATACATCACGACTTCTCCAACAAACCAATAGTTGCCATAACATGTACCCCTGCAGCCCACTGGAGTCAGTGGCCACCCCTGCTGTGTTGCACATGAATCTGGAGGATCAGTGAGTTTAACTTGAATTTCCACAGACTTGGGGATCTTTTTACATTATATTTTATATTACTTTATGTCAGTTAATGGGCGTAATTCAAGAGAAAGTTGACAGACCAAAACCTTCTGCTCCTGCAAACCTCATTTTTTATGTACTTTCTTCCCTTTGACAAGGTGGTAAGGTCATGAGGCCCCTCGCTGAATTATGTGTTTGGTAGTTCTCCAGATAAAAAACGACCTGTTCTTTATTATGGAGGCAGTGTCATTTGAGAGGATAAAAGTTGATATAGATGTAAAAAGGACCAAGGTTTTTATCTGGTTTTGGCAATGACTTCCCTGGGACTCTGGGCACTTCACCCTAGCAACTTGCTGCCTTCTAGTTCTTGTAAAATAAATGAAATGATAAATAGCGATAGAGATTTGCGGAATTAGTAGAGAAAATAGATTAAGTAGTATGGTTTCTATACAAGAGTGAAGTTATATAAATATAAGATCCTAATATTATTTCAGGACATCTCAAATTTCCTATATAGAAGTCATTTTACTTTAGGAGAAAAGGAGGGAGTGAGGAAGGGAACTGATAGGTTGAGTACCTACTATGTGCCAGGAACTGTTAAGTGCTCAATATATACAGGGAAAGTGTAATGGTCGAACTCACGCCCTAGTATCACAGAAGGAAAAAATTGAGTTCTGGCTCACCTGCTTTTTATTTATTTATTTTTTTGTGGGACCCTCACCGGTGGCCGGGGAACAAACCGGCGCTGTAGAGGCTGCGGGCAGCCTCGCAGCCCAGTGCTCAACCACTGCGCCACCAGGGGAGGCCCTCACCTGCTTTTTAGCTGTGTGACAGTGGCCACTGTGTCCACTGCTCTGACTCTCAGAGAGTTCACCTGAACCAACTTTACAGTCTTGCCTTAAATAGCTGTCAGGTTGTGTATATTCAGTGAAATAACATACTTGTGTTTGATGTTTCGCAAGCCCCCAGTAAACGTTAGCAACTGTTGCTGTTCCTTTCATTCCTGTTCACGTTTAGGTAAAGGTAAAGGCATCATCCCCTTCTAAGATAAGGAAACTGAAATTCAGAAAGGTGCGGCTTTGGCTCTAGGTCGTACAGCTGTTCATTGGCAAAGCTGTGAGGAAGAAAATAAACACCAAAGCTTATGTTATGAATTTGGCAGGGGGACGAGAACCCAAAGGGTCCATTCCTGATCATAAAATTGCAAGTTTAGTTCTAGGAAAATTTGTCTTTCCTGAATGTGATCTCCCTCTGCCTAATAATATCTGCGGGTTTGCTCCTTAGCACAGAGCTAAGTCCCGTCTTCACTCACCGCAGAGCTCAGCTAGTCCCTTACCCTCATCATACGCCTCCGTTTCTTCTATTCTTGCTTAAATGCAATCTACCTAGTATGTGCTCTGAACTATAACCTGCCTCTGATCCTTTCAGGAGGTGGTGAGAAGATAAACCCTAAATCAGTAACCGATCAAGCTTAGAGTCCAAGCAGTCCTTGCCACCGAGTGCTCCTTGCAGTGTGCGAGGCATCAGCTCTGTGTGGCTGTGCGCAGGTTTTTCTCTGCTTCTCAGTAAAGTACCTTCGACCTTGAGAGACTCTGGGTGAGATCCGTCCCCACCGACTCCGTTTATGCCTTTCGTTTTCTTCTCTGACCAGTTTAGAGAAGCCAGTCAACTGGGTGATTCTGTGAATATTCCTGCTAATCAGTATTCACTGGAATCGTTCCTTCTATTTCTCTTTCTCATTTATGTAATCAAATTTTAGGTAGTTTTTTTGCTTGTTTGTTTTACCATTACACTTCAGTTGTAGTGCTTAAAGGTACTTTATGGTTTCTCTCTGAATCTCATCACATTGCTATGAGGTCCCGAGACGATCCTTAGGCCCATTTGACTGAGGAGAGGCCTGAAGCTCCCGGAAGTTTGTGCCCAGTGCCCTAGCGTGAGTAATGGGCAGAAGCAGAGTTGAAACTGGGGACTTTATTGTTGCCTTTCCCCTGTTCCTGTCTCCTGAGAGCAGATCTCTCTAGAATATCAGTCTTCCACTTAATCAAGGGCCCAGAAAAGTTGTGAGCAGGAGTTCATTTTGATCCAGCCAAATTTCTGCCTCTG